TATCTACTTGCACTTTGACGTGCTTTCGAACTGCTAGGTTGGCAGGAGCAGGGACCGAGCAACGGGAGCTCACCCCATCGTGGGGATTCGAACCACCGACCTTCCGATCGTAAGCCCTAGGCTCTGTGGTTTAACCCACAGCGCCAACCGTGTCCCTTAAAACATGGTAAACAAACAAATATATGCAACAGCCCTCTATATTGTGTTCCCGACCACCACTGCTGCTTTCCTTTCTGCGTAGGAAACCAACAAGACAGAACACGGCACTCTTAATCTCAGGGTTGTTGGTTCAAGCCCAACGTTGGGCAAAACGTTGCATTGCAGAGGGTTGGACTAGATGACCCCTAGGGTCCCTATATGAATGAAAAGCCCCCCCCCCCAAAAAAACCCCACTTCAGTCCTCCCTTGCCTTGGCCAAGATGCTAAGCCAAAGCAAAGAGCAGCCCCGACCCACAAGGCACAGCAGGCTGGAGGAGCAGGTCTCTAACTAGGCCTTTGCTAAGCCCCGCCCCTCATCGCTTAGGCCCCGCCCCTACCCTCTTTGTTCGCGCAGGCCCCGCCCCCCGAGAGCTAGAGGGGGGGGAAGCATTCGAAGTACACCAGACACGGAAAGCCGTGGCAAGTATCCCATCATGCACCACGCCCCTAACAGACAGGTACGCTGCCCCGGGTACCCGGATGAAGGGGGGGGGAAAACACACACCCTCCAACCCCCCAGCAGGCGCCATTAGGCCGCTCTCCGACCACCCCCCCTCGCTTCTCCTTCTACCGCCTCAGAGGGATTCGTCGTCGTCCTGCCCCCCCCCAAAGGTTTCCCTCACGCGGGGTGTGGGCGGCAAAGGGAGACCGACGTCCACGGCGCCGCCTCAGAGCGCTAGGCCCCGGCCCCCTTCCGCTGCAGCCGCACCTTTCGAAGAACTGGGTCAGCCGCTCCTCGCCGCTCTCTACTCGGCTGCCTCGCTTCTCCTTCGCCGCCCCCTTCCCTTTGGAAACACAACAACCGCCCCCCCCTTCCCTCTCCAACCTACCTCTCCGCAGACCGGATGTGAGGTCACTTCCGCCGTCTTGCGGCCGTCTCTATGGTCTCCGCTCGGCGACCGACCGAGCGAGCTGGGCTTCCTCTCTGAAAATATACGCAGGCCGCAGTCACCACAGAGCTACGAAACAGGGGGAGACTCTCTGGGGTGTGACGGAAGTCGTGCCGCAGCGGGACTCTTTTATTATTTTTCCTACCTCTATGGTCGCCATTTTTCCAAGAGGGAGGAAAAAAGACGCTGTGAATATAAGGGAAATATAGGAAGGTGTGCAGCTGCTGAAAAATAAATCGGGAAGTGTTCGGACAGTGAAGTGGAAGGTTGTGGACTCTCCTTCCGTGGAGGTTTTTCAGTAGAGGTTGGATGGCCATCTGTCATGATCATGATCTAGATGAGTTCATGAACTGCTGGTTGATGACCCTTTTGAGTCCTTTCCAACTTGACAAGTCTATGGTTTGATTTTACACATGCCAGCCTGAATTAGGACTAGGGATCTCTCTGTGACTTCTGCGCAGCTTTTAAGATACTGATAATTTTAGGCCAGCAAAGGTCCGTATAGTTAAAGCTATGGTTTTCCCAGTAGTGATGTATGGAAGTGAGAGCTGGACCATAAAGAAGGCTGATCGCTGAAGAACTGATGCTTTTGAATTATGGTGCTGGAGGGTCCCACGGACTGCAAGATCAAACCTATCCATTCTGAAGGAAATCAGCCCTGAGTGCTCACTGGAAGGACAGATCGTGAAGATGAGGCTCCAATACTTTGGCCACCTCATGAGAAGAGAAGACTCCCTGGAAAAGACCCTGATGTTGGGAAAGATTGAGGGCACAAGGAGAAGGGGGCGACAGAGGACGAGATGGTTGGACAGTGTTCTCGAAACTACCAGCATGAGTTTGACCAAACTGCAGGAGGCAGTGGAAGACAGGAGTGCCTGGCGTGCTCTGGTCCATGGGGTCACGAAGAGTCTGACACAACTAAACGACTAAACAACAACAAATTTTAGGCATCCTGCTTAAAATGACATTCAACAGATCCTCCAGTGCCTGATAAAAGTGTGCAATTTAGCACAGCACAGGTGGCTGGGTTGTTGCCAGTAGCAATGTTCATTCTCAGCAGTAGCATCTCTGCATGCATCTGAGCTTTGTGTAGAAATGCCAAGACACGTCATCAGTTTTTACAGCCCCGTTTACCAACACACCAGTCCCCCACATCCAAAAAGAAAGTTACACTGCCTTCTCTATCATTTTCCCAGGCGGGTGAGAAGTTGTGTTGGTTTTGCTACAGCAAAAAAAACCTCTCTTGCTGCCGCTTAAAGACTAGCAAAAGTTTTGTGGCGTAAGCTCTCATGAACTAAAACCCTGCTTCATCAGATGCATGTTGAAATCTCAGTTGGCATGCACTGCAGAAAAAATTCATCATCATAGAATTGTAGAGTTGGAAGGGATCCAGAGGGTCATCTAGTCCAACCCCCTGAAATGCAGGAATCTTTTGCCCATTGTGGGGCTTGAACTCGTGAGCTGAGATTAAGTTTTGTGCTCTACCATCAGACCTGCCAACTGACAGTGGGCTGCAGTGTCACAAAAGCTTATACCATAAAGCTTGTAGTCTTAAAAGGTGCCACAAGTCTTTAGGTGTGTATGCAGCTCTTGAAAACACCTTAAATATTAGAGGCAAAGTGTAAATGGTGGTAACCCTGGGTTTGTGATTCACCAGGGATGAGTCAATATCTCCCTCAAAACAGCCCCAGGCAAACCTTGGCAGATGTCTATCCTCCAGCATACTGATATATGCCCGAAAAACCAAGTGGCACATTATGAGATGACGCAGAACCACTGTTCAGCAAATGCAGCTATACTGTTATTTTTTTCCTGTTCTGACTTGAGCTGGATTTTCCATTAAAGCAACTAACTACACCTGTCTATGCCAGTTCTTCATTAGATCCTCATGGTTTTACAAGTTTCCAATATTTACTGCCACAAAGAAAGTTGGTAGTTCTTTAGAAAAATACATCCCACTCCATCAAAAATCAGTACAGTGGTACCTCAGGTTACATACACTTCAGGTTACATATGCTTCAGGTTACAGACTCCGCTAACCCAGAAATAGTATCTTGGCTTAACAACTTTGCTTCAGGATGAGAACAGAAATTGTGCTCCAGCGGCGCGGCAGCAATGGGAGGCCCCATTGGCTAAAGTGGTGCTTCAGGTTAAGAAAAGTTTCAGGTTAAGAACGGACCTCTGGAATGAATTAAGTACTTAACCCGAGGTACCACTGTAATAGTATCATCAGTGGGTTTGGTTGGGAGTGTTTGGCTTGTGATCAATCCACTTTTGTGCAACATTCATGTCAAAAAGTCCTGTATCAAGGGGAAATTCCATCACATCCCCTCTAGCACAGTAGACCTGTATTTAAATGTTCATTTAATTTTGTTGTGTATGTTCAGTGATGTTGACAGCTGAAGGTGAGCTGGCTATCTTCACTCAACCACAGAACAAGCCGACAATCTTCTTGGATCTCAGAGATGCTCAGCCTGTGATGAGAGTACTGACAGGAACTGTGTGCTGATAAGCAAGGAAAAATAAACCTCTGGGCACGCCGCCATCTCTGTCAGAGATTTATTGCTCCGCTTCAAAGTAGTTTACAGGAGTTCAAAACATACATTCCTACGAGTCAGATGCCTCGTCTGGCCTTTCTTTGCGATGTGTCCAGCAGACCCATCTCTTGAGTACACGCCTCCTCTTTCCTCTGCTGTGAGTGGCTAGGTCCTGGCATCGGCTCCCCCCTCCCAGCTTCTTCCTCTGACGTGGAAGAAAAACTACTGATTGCCTGCTTGGGCTCTCTATACTTGTCTCCCTCCCCCGTCAGTTCTCTCGCAGCCTCCAATTCCCTGACAAGTACATACTCAGCTTTAGGAGAACAGGCAAAGAAGAGTTATCAATGACTCAGCTTTGCCACGAGTTCCAAAAAGTTCCCTTTCCCAATCCTCTCTATCACCACCTCACTCTCTTTTGGCTAAAGACCACCCACATGGTGGTGATGGCACTCGCCCTAACTTCCATACTGTTGCTGCCCCATATTTTCACCTAGCTCTTCATCTTAAGTCTCTTGTGTTTCTCTTCCTATGGCCTCCTCTGCTTGCTGCCTCCTACCACTCACATTCTACTAGAATTTCCTTTTACTTGGGCTGTTTCCTTCAAACCTTTTCCAGAACATCAGCTTTCTTCACCCCTCACCTCAGTCTCCACAGTTCTGTCTGCTTCCTGCCCTACCGTTAGCTATGGCTAAACAAGACTAATCAGAGCTAGGGGGTCTATAACTATATATTTATATATTAGAGGGAATTTCAACACCTAGTTTTCATAATGCTTCCATATTCTGTAAATAATGGCACTAACCTTAGAAGTTATTCTGAATTGTGTGAAGTCAACTACTGGCAGATTTCAACTATACAGATACCTACACATTCCATGTTTTCTGGAAAATGGCTTAGTTATTCTATGCATGAAGTTTGCAAAACAATGTTTTAGCATTGGTATTGAAGAGATCCTTCCATTCCATGCAAACAAATTATTACAGTCCTGATTTTTTTATTGACAAATACTGGGGAGTTTATTGCCCTTGTGAATAAACGTTTCACATACTAGCTCCAGAGCTAAACATATAAATTCAGCTGATTACACTAAACACGCTCTTTTGGAATGTGTGCTGTTGAATTCTAGCCTAAGTACAGTAAAGACCAGCTATACCACATGCTGTTCGGACAGCTAACACAAACTATAAATTATGGAAACTTCATGGAAGTGGAGGTCATGCTGTGAGGTTTAAAATCAGAACCTTTAATACCATTGTAGCTGGTTGGTTGACCTTTGGTGGAAAAGCTGAGTGGGCAAAGAGCATGACAGATGATCTGGTTGTCTGTATTAAAAAAAAACTGGCTATAGAGAGTCACATATACACACACAAAAAAACCTCATGGCTGGTTTGGTTTATTGGTTTGACACTAACAACCTGAATTGACATATATGTAAGCTGTTAAAATCATTAATAGAACTACATGAAAACAGATTATACACTCAAGCTCCCAATCACATCAGCCACACGAAGGTACATCAAGAGCACAGTTCTAAGATAAAACCAAATGTGAAGAGGTAAACTTGTTACTTTGAAGCAAGTCCCACCAATTTCAGTGACACCTTAGTAACTGGTCTAGGATCAGAATTGAAATACAAACATAAAAAGGTAACTATTTACAATTTATGGTTCAAATGCTGCTTTTGCTTATACTTGAGATGTATGAAAAGTACTAAATTGAAGTTGCAAGCAAGAAAAATAATACTGGTCAGAAGAAGAAGAATTTACTTTCTGCGCAAGCAGAAGAAACACAGCATTTTAAAAGCTGACTATCAGTTTTTCTATTCACTACCAAACACACCTAGACTAAAATAAAGCATTTCCACTTTTTAAAAAGTCACCAAAAATTCGTAGAGATTCTCAAAAGTGAAATGAAATCATGAAAGTCAGCTGGACATAGACTGGAATGTTCCAGAGGAGGGAAAAAAGCTAACTGCTTATATTGAATTGAACAGAACCAACGGTTAAAGGGATGTGCTTTGAAGCCTGAAAATATTAATGCGGATGAAATCCTTTCTTAACTCTTCAGAATGCTGTACATTTCCTTGGTAGCTTCAAGCATCAATCAGCACAAAAAGCTGTATCGTCATTCCCATTTTTTTTAAAAAAAGATCGTTTTTGACAATGCAGATTTTGCTGTAACATTAAACACACTAACAGAATTATACTTCTATTTTAATCCACTAAAATCTAAGTAGTATAGCGTTTCCCCAACTTTACTGTATTGAGATTAACGTTGAAAATAAAACCATTTTTTCCTTAAATTGGCAAACCCCTTTTTTTGCATTTAAGTCTCTTTTTTCTGTTTCTTGTCTTCAGCCTTCTCCATGTGTTTCTGCAACAAATAAACAAACAAGGGAGGATTGAATTGTAATTTGTTTCTGTTGCCGGGATTGTGTTGCAATGGCATCATTAGCAACATTCCATAATTTTTTTTTTCAAATTTAAGCTTGCTGCATCTCATGGTAAATCAAGTACTAAGGCTGATGTGTACATTGGGCATAATCCAGTCGCTATACTTTGATTACAATGGAATGTCCAAGTTCCAATTTGGGCTGGATTGCATATGACATGGTGTATGCATGAGCTTCTGAACTAGGTAGTGTAGAACAAATTGAGATTAAATTTGCCGCTTAAAATAAACCAGAGCCTTAACAAAGAACTACTTATCCTAGGGTTTTAATTAAGCTTCTTCCAATAGCTGCATGAGGGTGAGGAATTCTACCTTACCTTCAACTTTTGATAATGTGCAAGGCTGCTGCAGTGGACCTTTTTTGCCGCATCTTCATTGGTGTAGAACAAGGAACACAACTTGCAGTAAAATCCAGTTCGGGGCACCACAAAGCTCACACCTAGATAGAAACATGCACATAATTGCAAATCTGATCCAGAACAGAAGGGCCAGAAAGAGAGTCCCTAAGTTCCCTCTGTACTGAACAGTTGATCTGTAAATCAGTAGTCTTATACTGGCTACACATGCATCCTTGCCTTTAAAATGCTCTTAAATGATATAAATGGAATACGACTGAGTCCGACAGTCTCAGAACATACACTCACTTCTTCTCTTCCAACGCAATCAGGAGAGTTTGGAAGAAGTTTGTTTGTACTGACAAACTGTGGTTAACATTGACTAGGGTTTACATGAAGCTAGTCACTTTGAAAACAAAAATAACCATAGTAAGTTAGTTTTATATTTATGTAATTAGCATGGTGCCCAATACCTGTAGATCTCAGGATGATTCACAACATAAAACCACAACTTATTTATATTCATTGAACTGCAGTTAAGCAAAACTTCTGAACTTCTAGCTGAGTGCGCGCTTTAAGGCTGACTGCAGTTTAATTAAAAGGTAAAGGTAAAGGACCCCTGACAGTTAAGTCCAATCGTGAACAACTCTGGGGTTCCGGCACTTATCTTGCTTTACAGGCCAAGGGAGCCGACATTTGTCCGCGGACAGTTTTTTTCCAGGTCACGTGGCCAGCATGACTAAGCCGCTTCTGGCGAACCAGAGCAGTGCACGGAAACGCTGTTTACCTTCCCGCTGGAGCGGTACCTATTTATCTACTTGCACTTTGACGTTGTTTCGAACTGCTAGGTTGGCAGGAGCAGGGACCGAGCAACGGGAGCTCACCCCGTTGCGGGGATTCGAACCGCCGACCTTCCGATCGGCAAGCCCTAGGCTCAGTGGTTTAGACCACAGCACCACCCGCGTCTCTTCCGTTTAATTACATCATACTAGACTATGGCTTGGCATGATGTGCACATGTGTTGTATTCTATTTAGTAATTTAACAGTTTGTGCCCATAAGGTTTTGATGATTGAGCCTGAACTGACTGGCAAATTCTAAGCTAATACCTCTTTAGGAAAGGAAGTCTCTTTCTTGTGGTCCATTTACAACACACGTTACATTAGAGGAGGATAAAGCATTCTTACCAACAGGAACACTTGGCTGATAGGGTCCAATCCTATTTTCATCACTTTCTTGCCCTTCTGTGTTTTCTTTTTTATCTTGTTCTTCTGACAGTGTGCTGTCTGTCACCTCGGATGATTCTGACTTCAAATTCTCATTTTTAGCACCATTTTCCAGTGCCTCGTTTTCTTGCTGCCCTTCTTCTGCGTTTACAGTCTGAGTTTCTGTTATGCTGCCCTCAGTTTTTGCAGCAAGTGTAATACCAGCTTTACGTTTTTGGTGATCTAAATCTTCTTCATCACCAACTTCATCTAGAGTCACAAAGCCTTCCATGCTCCTTGGAAATCCACCTACATGTCGCTATTGAGACAATTTATTTTTATTTATTACATTAGATATGGCTTTTCTCAAATCAAGCTATCTCATTTAAAATACACACTGAAGTCCAATAGGGTAATTCCACCACATGAAAACACCCATTTTTATTTCCCTCTCTAGGAAGTGCTCCTCAAAAGAAATGACTTTTGGAGTGGTGGGATACAAAAGACTATACCAATGGCCACAGTTTGCCCCCAGCCACAGTGCAAAACTGGGTCAGGGCTCAGTATCTCCCCACTTTGCAAGCAACAGGAATGGGCAAGGAGCACAAGAAGGAACCATGTAGGCAACAAACTCCCACAAGGAAAATGTTCCTGTGGCGAAGGTTAGCACTAGGAATCTGGCACTTTCCTTGAACAAATACTAGTTATTTATTTGCTTGCACTGGTGAAAGAGTTCTCTCCAGATCCCTAGGGCAGGGTTGCCTCCCTCCTAAACTTGTGACTTGCAAAGTTTAGGTTTGTAATTCATTTGAGTACCTTGCAGATGCGCAGCTTGTCACTACATATCTTTGTTTCATGGTCAGAGATGACGCAAGCTAGGGTCTCAAGTGTAAGTAATAAAATGAGGAAAATAAGACTTTTTACAGGACAGGATACTGCTGCAGACTGCAGTCATCTATACCAGTGTTCCCCAACCTTGGGCCTCCAGCTGTTTTTGGACTACAACTCCCATCATCCCTCGCTAGCAAGACCAGTGGTCAAGGATGATGGGAATTGTAGTCCAAAAACAGCTGGAGGCCCAAGGTTGGGGGACACTGATCTATACCACCCAAAACAGCTATGGGGTGTATACACACAGACTACACAAGAACCTTCCTTTCTGAAACCCTTATTAAGATACCATGTTATAAGGAGCACCTTTTCTCGAAAGGCGGAAAGTTTTTTGTGGCAAGAAATAATCTCATGGTGAAGAAGCATAAACTTCTTCCAAGTGATAGTTTTCTCTTTACCTTTTTGAGTTTCTTTGCCGCTGGTGCAGATGTAGCATTGTCTTCAGGTTTCGCAGTAGCATCATCACCAGCTGCCTCCTTTTGTTCAGAAGACACATCACCCAAGTTAGCTACATCCGTATCATCTGCAGCTGAGCTCCCACTCTCTAGTAATGCTGCTGCTTCCTCCTCGTCCACTAATAGTTCATCTTCAGATTCAAGGAGTAAACTTGGTTCCTCCTGGTCTGCCTGATCATTGTCCTTTGTATCTGCCTCATCTCTCTTCTCTTCTTTATCTTCGGTGCTATTGCCTTCCATTTTGTCATTATCTTCAGTCTTACATTTTTTCTCACTTTCAGAGTCTTTGCTATCTGGAGAAAGACCTCTTTTTCTATTAAAAAAAGAAAGGGGGAAATCTTGCTTACCCATTTCCTTTTTGTATTTTTAAATAAACTCAAGCTACCAGAAAGATTATTACCTTGGTTTATCTTTCTTCAGCAGATCTACTCCTTTGTTGGGAATCTGTAATAATAATAATAATAATAATAATAATAATAATATCAGTTGGTTAGAGCGTGGTGCTGATAATGACAAGGGTTGCAGATTTGATCCCTGTAAGGGACAGCTGCATATTCCTGGGTTGCAAGGGGTTGGACTAGATCAGGCACCCCCAAACTTGGCCCTCCAGATGTTTTGAGACTACAACTCCTATCATCCCTAGCTAACAGGACCAGTGGTCAGGGATGATGGGAACTGTAGTCCCAAAAACATCGGGGGGGGGGCAAGTTTGGGGATGCCTGGACTAGATGATCCTCAGGGTCCCCTCCAACTCTATGATTCTATGATAAAGGTCTTTGTGGATTTCTGTATTAGGAGCTGCGCACAGCTATTCAAGTGAAAATGTTTCCAGTCTTCAAGGCATATGAAAACACAGCTGAAGTAAGAACTGCCACAAACTGCAAGACTTCAGATATTTTCTTATATGCACCATGGTATTCAGGATGGGGCTTCTCCCTATTCTTATTAACTATAAGCGGTAACCATGTGGATGCCAGATGTACAGGGCGTGGAATTATGTCTCCCTGTCTATAAGCTACAGGAACAGGAAAAATTGCATTTCGTATGAGCAGAACTTGTGAGAAGTTGTATAATCACAGTTACCAAGAACATTCAGCACAACGGTTGAAATTCATATAAAACATTTAAAAAAAGGGGGGGGGAGCATTTTCCCCAAATGTATCACCACTGGCTCTGGCTTGAATTAGTCTTGGATTCTTCAGCTATCTCCAAATCCCTAGGCAAGTGGCAGCAACACTAGTCAGAGGCTTTTACACTAACTATTAAGGAAACATTAAAAACTTTGGTTGTTTTCAACCAAGTCCTACTCAGAGTAGAAAATGTCAATGTCTCCCGATTGTTCAGTCGGGGCAAGCGTTTCCATTTGTTACGTGGAATGACTGCCCCCTTCTCTCATAACACTGCAGACCAGATCTGGGGGAAGAGAGTGGGGGTGGGGCCCTTTGTGCTGGCTTCCACTAGCACACCAAGTTATTTGAATATGGGCCACTTAAATTAATGAACCTAAGTCAGTCAGTGTCCATTCAATGGGTCTACTCCGCATAGGAGTATGCAGTGTGGAGTATCACATTTCATATTACAACATTACTTACTGAACAAATACTCAAAACGAAAACTTACTCCAGCACATGGTACCTACCCTTAGTACTAGTTTCTTGTATTTTTCAGACAAATCTACTTTCACACATCTTCCCTGGAACCAAAGGGCTTTGTTGGAGCAGTGCTCCATCATTGCTTCAGCATCTTCTCTGGTCTCCATTTCTATGAAAGCCTATGGATGAGATTAAAGAGATTTCAGGTTCCAATATTTCAACAGGATTCTCCTACAAAGTTAAACCTAGGTAAATCACTACAATTACAGAAACCCCACTGGTGGAAGGATAAAGCTGACAAGCTTGCTTTTTGCCTCAAACTCTTGGAAGAGGGGTGCCTAAATGCTTTCTACTCTATCAGCCAATGGAACTCGCAATGAAACTCACAATATAGTGGTGTCATGTACCAAAATGAGGCTATAAAGATGAGCTGTGGAGAAACAAGTAGACATGTGCTGGCCCAGCTTCCATTTTCCACCCCCAATCTTGCCTAATACCCTTGGCTCTTTCGCCTCGTCTAATTCACACATAGGTATGAAACATCTTTTACAAGAATCTACTCAACATCTATTTGTGGGGAGCACTCGCCCATCTCTCCATGGAAGAGATGTTGTTAAGCCTTAGTTTCAGCGTTTCATGTAAGCACCTATTTTTCTTCTATGTTGTTACCAAAATGCTTAAGAAAGCTTTACTAAACAACATTTTACCAAATATACCTAAGGACTGGTTTCTAGTTATGCAAGCATTGTATAAATTACCTGACTCTTCATTCTCATCAGTATGTAATTCTTTATTTTTCCATAGGGCTCAGCTAGTTTAAGTACAGCATTGTCAGAATATCCTGAATGCGGCAGATTGCTGAGATGGATCACACGACCAAGTTCTTGTTTTGGAGGCTCAAATTTTTGGTTAGGCTTCCCTTCTGGTTTCTAAGAAGGTTAGAGAATATTTCAGTAATCCATTATATATATATATCTAATTAGACCTTAGTTTAATGTCAGAACCTAAAGCACAGAATGCAGATTGTACGTAACAAATGGAAATGCAAAATTAACGGAACTGACTTTACCTTTATTCTTTTATATTTCTGCGATAAATGGACTCTGACGGGTTTGCCGAACACTAAGGCTGGGGCTGCTGAATAATACTCTACTGCAGCTTGTGCATCTTCAGTAGTAGACATTTCAATGAATGCCTGAAATTGTAGAAGATAAATAAATTTTGGTGTCCCTCTTGAAGAGGAACTATGTCTAAGAATGAAATATGAGCAAAAATGAAATACAAAAATACTGTAGCCTTTAAGCTGCCAAGGGAGCATCAATAAGAACTGTACGTTTTCTATAGCATTTCTAAAGCTAATCCAATAATCATCCACTTAATAATACTGTTATTTGCAAGCCACTCTAGGATCCTTTCTGGATGAAGAATGGGATACAAATACTTTAAATAATGTTGAAACATCTGATTTTACACCAGGAATAGGCAGCTGGATGTTGAAAACTACTTTAAAACAGTTTCAGTCTTGCATATTAAAGTTTCTTCTTGTAACTATTCAGACTAGAAAATTACTTTGACATCACAAAGCCTTGGCTCCCAAGTACAAGAGAGAAAGAGAGAGTTTGGGGTCATACACTTCCCCCTCCTGGTTAAAATTCTGATTGTGCACAGAGGCAGAGTAAAGCAACATTTGAAGTATTTTCCCCCCAAGTAATGTCATGCTGTAACACCCTTCTACATGATTTTAACACTTACTTCATTAATTTTGTTCAAGATTAGGTGATTTGTAATTATTCCAAATGGTTCAACAAGTTGCAGTAGCTGATATCTCAGGTTTTTCCCTCTCTGAAAATCCATGATGTGCACAACTCTGCTTGTTTCCTGTTAATGGCAAGTAGTAGCATTCAATAAATTAAATTGTTAAGCTAAGTAAATGTTAAAATAACCATCCCATTTTGGAACATGATCTCTTCTGGCTGATTTTGTGATGAACGAGTCAATGCCAATATTTAAAAACAGAATACTATTGCCTTTCATCTCAAATTAGTCTGAAGAGTATGAAGTAATGGGTGGGGGACCTAATTAGCTGGAAAGCAAACAGTCTCAGAAAGCTTGCAGATGTTGGCCTTAACTGTAAAAAATGTTGGCATGGATGCCTTCAATAGAGACTTGAGAAAAACCATCACTGAGATCTTGAATATGTAAAAGGGTCTCAAAGTCAGTTAATGTGTATCATGTTCTCAGCTGTTTGGGCTGCATTACATTAAGCTGCAGGTAAACACAGGCTGCAGGCTCACATGGTAGAATCCTTTTCCAAACTCTTTTGCTCACCATACTAGTTAAAAGTGATTTTTAGTGGAAGAACAATGATGACAACATCCCACTGATATAAGAATCAGAGACCCAGGGTGTATATTTTAGCCAAGTTTCAAATACTAATTGCCTTGAACCTATTAGAAAGATGGAATGCTTAACTGAGTAGTTTTATATATAGGTAAAGGTACCCCTGACCGTTAAGTCCAGTCGCGGACTCTCAGGTTGCAGCACTCATCTTGCTTTACGGGCCAAGGGAGCAGGTGTACAGCTTCCGGGTCATGTGGCCAGCATGACTAAGCCGCTTCTGGCGAACCAGAGCAGCGCATGGAAACGCCGTTTACCTTCCTGCCGGAGTGGCACCTATTTATTTACTTGCACTTCGTGCTTTCGAACTGCTAGGTTGGCAGGAGCAGGGACCGGGCAACGGGAGCTCACCCTGTCGCGGGGATTCAAACTGCTGACCTTCTGATCAGCAGACCCTAGGCTCTGTGGTTTAACCCACAGCGCCACCCGCATCCCTTTTATGTATAGTTCCTGTGTTGCTATACCTTACAATCCCTGTGCTCTCTAAGCCATAATCAAGAAATCCTATCTAACCCTGAAAGTGGCACAAATGGTCACTATGGATGTTGTTCTAAGCTTGTTTTGGTTAACATTGGCAAACCCAATCTCTCCTTGAGGTTTCCTGAGAGGCTCAGAGAAAAAAAGGGGCAAAAGAGTGAGATAGAGGATGTAAACAAGATCTTAAAACAGGCTTGGTTACTAGAGCAATGTGTGACATCCGTAACCTAACATAGTCAAATGACCTAGGCACTTGCGGGCATCCTAAGGTAAAAACAATAGTGGGGAAGGGGGAAAGAGCTGAAAGCAGGAAGACGCCATATGTGTCTACTATCCAATGACTTGTGACCTTTCTTGACGCATGTAAAGGGGATGTTTTGTGCCCAAGAATGTTTTATGACTATTTGTGTGCTGTGTCTGAACTATATATAAGCTTTTGTTCTGGAGTGCCTCGGGGCAGGCTTTTTTAACCGGTGTGTTGAGTTGAGCTCTGTCCTATTGCAATAGCTGTAATAAAGCTGGGAGCCTCCTGGATGCTGGACTTGAAATGAGTTTCCTTGGTTCTGTGGTTTATTTAAAAGGTGGTAACAAACAGAGGTGGTATAGAAGTGAATTCTTTCCACACTGCAGCCTGGGCACAACTGAGTACTTAAGTGAGAAGTAGACCCTCATTAACAATATTTATTGTCTAAAACAACCAGAGACACAGTGGAAATATCTGTCTTTATAGAGCAGTTCCTATGTCAATACTAACCACTCTGCCTTTCTGCAGGTGCCTTGGTCCTTGCATACTTCCATTTCCAGACCCTTAAAATAAACACATTGGGGGAGAGAAAAAGGGAACAGGAAGGGGGGGGGGAGAGAACAAAAACAATGATTATAATTCACAAGATTGTTGGCACGATGACATATCACAACATCAAATTCTTTCATATATGTTGTAATCTTGCGTAGAGTAAGTAACAAAATGTGGCCTAGTTCAGTAGGGCACTGAATCCAATCAGAGGCGAGATCCAGAACTGACCCATCCTTTGTGGGGAATTTTGACAGCTGGGTTCCCCAATCTGTCAGTCACCAGACTCATATGACAACAGGTGATTCGAAGTGCAAGCTGCAGGAGCAGACTTATCTCTGATTTTAGCACTGTGGTGCTTAGCACTAAGATTGGAGGTAAGCCTCTCACTGCTCTTTGACAGTTTGCTTTATAGTACTGCTATGGATTTCTTGAGATTCCCAATTTCTGACTTCTGATGTCCTAAGCACACCCAGCCCCCAATGAGGAAACATTATTGGAAATTTCATTCTTTACTGGCAAAGCACTTGATTGCATCAGCTCCTATGGTGCAAGAATTACATGCACCATTCCTACTAAATAGCTAATACTTCAAACTTTTGCTGATCCGGACAGTTGGAGCAACAGTGCTAGCATGCCTCCATCAGCACATTAAAAACCCCTCTCTTCTGATGCAGTGGGTGCAAGCAACCATCGACTTCTCCTGTGTGGCAGCTCCAGATGCTCTTGTCGCTTTATGTCCCTCTTTGTCCTTGGAGACGGTGGGAGAGGGGGTGGAGGAGATTCTAATGGCCCAACTCTCTCTGGTCTGTCTCTTCAATCGATGCGCTATTCTGCAACTCAGGATGCGCCTGCGCAAAATCCTGTTGGGAATCTGCATACGTGCAGCTACACACACAGAGTCAATTAGGGTTTGGCCGACAGCCAAGGCAATGTGAAGGAGTAAGTCTGCCTGGTGATACAGAGGCATGGAGACAGCTCCACGATTGGTCAAGGTCTCTCACGGGAATAATGATTAATGGCCTACTAACTGGAATGTGTGTTACTACGAGTTCGAGTGCAGGAGTTGTGAGTCATGTATGAGAGAAAGCTAGCTAAAGATCCGTGTTCTGTTCTGTTCCTGTAAATAGTCCACTGTATATAATAAACACCTAACTACAAGTTCCTGGTTCCTGCTTCGTCTATCCTGTCTGCAGCCAAGTTGCCAATTGCTTTCGTGAATTCTGCATTTACTCTGCTAGGTCTGGCTAAGGTCCTGCAACTAGTCAGAAAGTTGCGAAACACCAATAGGTTTTGTCAATAGTCCCCACCTTCTCTTCCCCCATCTCTGACTGCCCAGCCTTGTCCTCTTTCCTCTGCTTCAAGGGTGGCATAGAACCACGCAAATCACTGGCACCTTCCCCAGATCCTCCTCCTGCCCCCATGCCCATCGTTTGGACTCCTGCTTATCCCTGACACTTGGATCTTAAGACATTTGCACAGCACAGTTCCCTACTGACCAGCAAAGCATACTATATATAGCCAGGAACTACAAGTTTAAGAGTCCACTTCAAGATGCATTTCATAATATTACCTCTTGACCCAGCTGGTGGCCCTCCCAGATGAAATGGTGGCGGTGGCGGCCCCAGAATTCCTGGGGCAGGATTTGTTGACTGCAACATAAACGGATCACCCCTGGAAGTTCACACACACAAAAATGAATCCACATTAACCTTCAAATAAAATAAAATATTTACATAATCTTCAATCTAGTTTTGAATACAAATGCAAAGATGTCAGACTAAAAGTCAAAAGGAGGTGAGCTGGAGTCCCACCACATCACAGTTTACTTTTATGTGCAGATAGTCATGGGTATTTACTCTGCAGGCCTCTTCACACAAATTTCAGATAAGCTTGTAGCCAATCCATTCACACATCACTTTTGACAGTGATATTCATGCATGCAGTCTGTGTGGAAACGTTCTAACAGGTGATGTTAAAAACATTCCACCAGACTGAATACTGTTCCATGAGGATTACTGGCATTACTAGAGAAGCTGCAGAAAAGGATGTGATATGGACTGGGAGTAACATTTTGAATATCTGACAATTTTAACTCTTCTGATTACTAAAAAGTGATCCAGTGCCTTTCAGCGGGGCAATGAAATCGAGCCATTCACAATTATGTTTGGTCTAGCAGCATCTATTTTTGACAGGATGTGTCCTGGCTAATTAACTCTAGGGTGAATGACATTACAGCCGGTAATTAACCTGTGAGAAGACGTGCGTGTTGCAACTCTCTCCCCCTAAAAGCCACCTCTGCTGATTCATGAGTGTCTAACCTTGGAGTGTACTGTAAATGTCAAGGGAGGATTTCATGGGGCTTCCCCACACATTTTCCTGAGGTGTGTGTTTGTGGAGAAAACCACATACATGGCTGCTGCTGCTCAGATGGAAAATGCTGCAATGTATTCAAATTTTGCAAGGTGCTGGCATTATTATGCCATGTAGATGCAGACTTTAAGGCGGAAGTGGGGAAGCTCAGGTCCAGGAACCAAACCTCCAATGGGTCTACCATGAGTAAAATGTAGTTGAATGCCACCTAAGTGGCTTAGGGTGGAATTCAATGTAGAATATTGTTTTGCCAGCGCAAGCATTTCAGCTTGCTTGAGGGAATGATATCCCCCTTCCATTCCATGTGTGCTGTTCTGGAAATATACTCCCCACTGTACTGCTCAGGTTCAAGCTAAGTAGATCATTTTCTAATCACCTAGCACTGAACCTCAGTACTATACTAGGAAACTACTCAACTAGCTCCAGAGCTCATCTGTATCATGGTATTGAGAGAAGCTGTAAACTTGTTTCCTTCTACTTGGCAGTTTTTACTTACATTCCAGGTCCAGAATCACTTTCAGGGTTCCATTCAGGATAGCTTTAAAGGGAAACAAAGTCTGTAAGATCATTGTCTGCAACTCATATTGTGGCTGGAGAGATACTATGCATATATTTTCCACCTTAGCACATTAATTTTTTTTAAAAAAATGTATTCAGAGAATAAAAAACCTCAGCATTATTAATATTTCAGATAGATTATACCCAATTGTGTCCCTTTGCTGATTAAAGGTTCCTGTATACAGTGGTGCCTCGCAAAGCACGGCTATTAGTGGCTTAGCGGCTATTAATGGCTTAGCGGCTTTAAGAAAAAGGAAACAAACTCGCAAGAACTCGCAAGACGTTTCATCTTGCGAAGCAAGCCCATAGGGAAATTCGTCTTGCGGGACGACTCAAAAAACGGAAAACCCTTTCGTCTAGCAAGTTTTTCGTCTTGTGAGGCATTCGTCTTGCGGGGCACCACTGTAGAAGCTTTCATGAACAGAAAGAGTAAGAAAATTTCAGATTATTCCTTCTTTATCCTCTCAAATTTGCTCCAGAGGGCTTGGGAATAATTTTGCTGATGGAACAGAGGCTACTGGAAAGGGGGAATTTGTGAACCTTGCACCCCCTCCTTCCATACGTGGAAGTCTCCACTGGCTCAAAGAGGCTCCTGTCACTAGAAAGGAACTGTTAAAATATATCTGAAAGTCATATATATAAAATATATCTGAACTGATGAAACCTATCAGGTAATGTGAAACCAAATGGCCACTACAATCCACCTTTAGCTTCCAGAATCCAATGCATACATACCTGGAAGTGAGTTCTGTGGATATCGCAATAATGTAAGCTATTCTGAACACTGTATACCATTTGAACCTGAATTGTAAGTTTGCTTACATCAATACCACATCTCAATGCACCCTGAGATTGTATGACAGAATACTCAAATTCACTTTTAGTCTGGTGAAAACTGATGAAGAGACTTGGGAGATTTATAAAATGAACTATTATCCATGAGAGAATTATATTAAGAGTATGGAGAGAAATTATTCCCACATACTCAACATGTTAAAACTTTGGGTCATGCAATTACAACCGATTTGCAGCAGGTTTCACGTCAATATATTTTCCCCTTAACATTAATCTATAAAACTGATTGCCATGGAATATTTTCATAGTCGCCAATATAGATGGCTTTAAAGAAGAGTGGTTTAACAAGATATGGAGCGAGATCCAATTTTGCACCAGCAGTTGGGACAGGACCTCCTTGTCTCCCATCTGCAGTTCCCCAACTCTCCACAGCAGATTTCAGAGGCACATGGGAAAGGAAAGACATGGGAAGTCCAGTATGTAGGCAGGCTGTCATACCTGGCTATCACCTGTATAATGTTTATAAGTCTGGTGAAGAGCCCCAAGTCCATAACCAACCATCCACATTTCTTTGTGCTATTAATATGGACCTCACCCCCAAATAGTTAGTTATGTAGATGTCAGTCAGATGTGAAGGTTGGGGCTTTTTATGCAGCTATTGTATTGCTTTGCCAAAAATGTCAGTATAATATCCTACAAAAGATAAATGGCTTCATGGAATGTTTCAAACAAATCTAAAATAGTACGCCAAGTGTCAGCTTGAAGATGTGATCTATTCTTGTTTGTTGCTGGAACAGTCTGAATAAGCTAATTGTTTTCAAACTTTGTATATTGTAACTTTGAAGTTTCCTGAAACAAATATACACTGCAATTACAATGAAAAAGGGACGTTTAAAATCATTTAGATCCATACATTTCCAGGAGAAGTTGACAACGTCGACTGTGTGTTGCTCCATTGATATGCTGGTTCCACTCCTGCAGCAAAAGTACAAAGTCAAAATTATCGACAACAAAGTTATTTTAAAACTTACTTCAAACACCCTACGGAATCATTTGCAAGTCAACCAAATTCTCACGTGTAAGTGAACGAATGCCTTTATCTTAGAAGACTCGTATCATGATCAAAAGGGTACCAAAAGTGTCATCCAAACAATGACAATCAGAACTGCAGTGTATTCTGGAAAAAGTGTAAACCTGAGCGTTAAATCATCCATCTAACTATGCAATCCTATCCATGTATTCTCTGAAGTAAGAGTTCAGTGGTGCTTATGCCCAGGTAAGTGCACAAAAGAGCCTAACTTTTATGTCCCTCTTTTTGACATTCAAACATCAGATTAGTTTGTATCCAACTGTAGCTTTGTGCCAGTGGGAAGCACGTTAGGCAGCCAATTCACATCGTATGTGCTGCAACTCTCTGCATAGTATCAGATACTGTTACAGAGGGTCCCCAACTCTTTAAGGGCAGATTTTCAGGAGACAAGGAAGGGCAGCTGTAGTGGGTGAATGGGAAATACTGAGTGAAACTCATTGTGTGTAAACTGAAGTTATTCCCCACTTGTGCAAAGCCTCCACTGGATCGAACCTACTGCTTATGAGTTTTGCATTCTAATGATTACAAAAAGTTGGAAAAGGAGCTATCAGGATATAAAACAGAAGATTCAAAGAACCCACATTCTGGCCATCCTTAACAGACTTTTATGCAGCGTACCTGAATATACATTTAGAAGTTATTAAAACTTGTTTTCAATGCAAGTCTAATAGAAGGCTGCCTTTTGTTGGTGTAAAATGCTTCTGCAAAAGTACATTTCCAATAAGATAAATAAAGGTACCCCTGACCGTTAGGTCCAGTCACAAACGACTCTGGGGTTGTGAGCTCATCTCACTCCATAGGCCGAGGGAGCCGGCGTTTGTCCACAGACAGCTTCTGGGTCATGTGGCCAGCATGACTAAGCCGCTTCTGGCGAACCAGAGCAGCGCACGGAAACGCCGTTTACCTTCCCGCCAGAGCGGTACCTATTTATCTACTTGCACTTGATGTGCTTTCGAACTGCTAGGTGGGCAGGAGCTGGGACTGAACAACGGGAGCTCACCCCATAGTGGGGATTTGAACCGCCGACCTTCCGATCAGCAAGCCCTAGGCTCTGTTGTTTAGACCACAGTGCGACCAGCGTTCCTACTAAGATAAATAGTTTGCTGCATTTCCAGGCTGGGGAGGAACAACTGAATACTGTGGCTGCTGCACAGAACAATACTTTTAGGAGAAGAAGGAATAGAGATGCAGCAAGAGGGCACATTCCTTTCATTATTTTCAAGACTCTGCTAATAAGATAGCATGCCTTATTTTGTGTTGTATCATTCAGAAGACCAGCTTGTAATGAAAAGGAGAAAGAATCACATATACTAATCATGCTTTAACATTAACCAGTTCCTTAACTAGCTTTTAATCCCCGTTTAACATTAAAGACTAACACAGTTAGCCATAGGTAAGTGACCAGGTAAGTATTACCGTATTTACGCGAATGCAACGCACTACTGAATGTAATTCACACCTAAATTTTCAAAAAACCTTGAAACCAAAAAAGGATTTGCTGGCAAATAAAATGTGGCATCAAATCTAATGCACACCCTAATTTTCGCGATGTAATTTGGCCAAAAAAAATGTGAGTATTACATTTGAGTAAATACGGTAACTATCTAGATAGGTCTGTGGCAGGGGTCACCAACTTGAGAAGTGGCATAAAGTACAATACCGGCCCCTGCAAATCATAGGCTTTGTTTTTTTAGGACATTTGCAATCTATGGCAGATTCATGAAAAACAATGTGCTACAGATTCATGGGTACAATTTCTCATATTCAATGTTGTTGTTTTTGCGATCATAAGGCATTTAATATATACACTTTAAAATTTAGAAGGCCTACTACATCTTATAATTTTACACACAATTTACGGTGAAAGGACGTCAACACTTGGTTCCCATATAAAACAGGATACCCCGCCCAGCTGCTTCAACGCCGGCATTCAACAGACTGCCAGACATTTGTGTCTGATTACCAAGCAGAGGATCCTGAGTAAATGGGAGTTTTCCTGGTTCTTTCTTCAATTTGATAAAGCACTCCTGACTAACCCCACTACAAATTATATTAGCAGCGATATTTGATTAACAGAGGTAAGGAATAATTAACTGTTACTTCCCACCTCTCCCTCCCCCCCAAAAAGATAAACATTCTTCAACAGCCACAGCCTTTTCCCACTAATGCATAAGTACCGTATTTTTCACTCTGTAAGACGCACCAGACCACAAGACGCACCTAGTTTTTGGAGGAGGAAAACAAGAAAAAAAATATTCTGAATCTCAGAAGCCAGAACAGCAAGAGGGATCGCTGCACAGTGAAAGCGGCAATCCCTCTTGCTGTTCTGGCTTCTGTGATAGCTGCGCAGCCTGCATTCACTCCATAAGACGCACACACATTTCCCCTTACTTTTTAGGAGGGAAAAAGTGAGCCTTATAGAGCAAAAAATACGGTAGTTCATCTGTTTGAAACAGTTGAAGCTTTTCTTGCTCTAATTTAAATACCCCAAACTCTACACATAATTTTTTCCAGACAAACCAAACTGTTGAGTGTCAAAACCTATTCATTGCAGATTCCCAAATCCTGCTTACTAAATAATAATAATAATAATAATAATTATTAATTTTGTATACCACCGTCATCCGAAGATCACAGGGTGGTTCACAGCATAAAAATACACAATAAAACCACAGAATACCTAATAAAAAGCTTTCTTCAAATAAAAGTTCTTTCAATACTGCACTGTTCAGGACTTAGAAACTCAAAGATTTAAATCCCAAGCCTGAAACACTAGAGTTTTCGTGTGTGTGTGTGTGTGTGGCTAACATCTGAAATTACAGCAAGATGTTTCTTCTAGTCAGAACAAGTGTAAACAAGAAGTTGTCTGCTGAAGTGTGCAACTAGACATGACTGGTGACATCCATCTAAATCATACTTTGAAATCAATGGCCCAGAGCCCGACGATTTCAGTAAGTCTGTTCTGAGTATGACTAACACTGGATATCACTCAATAGACAGACAACTGGACACACACACACACACACCAGACACAAAGGGGTGTGTGGGTGTGCATGCTTATCTTATGAATGGGGAAGGGGAGCCCTGATGAAAACTGTCCACAATGACGAGATGGCACTTCAGCAAATAAAGTGCTGGGTGGGAGGATAATTAATTCCCCGCTTCCAGCTACCATATGTAATCTGGCCCCATGGCAGGCACGCCTGGAAGCTTGGCTATGTGTTTTTAGCTAGATCAGTCTCAAATGAATTTACTGTATTGTCAGTGGGTTGTTTTTTTAAGATGACAAATACAGTACTTAAAAAACCTGATTCATGGTATGCATGTATTAGGAAATTTCCCATAATTTCACATGCTGATTGCATAAGTGCTTCCATTTACAAAGTTAACTTTAAACTTCCAGAAAAGAGACAACAACAACAACAAATTAAATTTGTATACTGCGCTATACCCACAGGTATATAACGGGTCTAACATAACCTATGTTAGAAGATTTCCCCCTTAAAATGTGTCCCTCTCCTCAGAACTGCTTGCACAAAGGAACAAAATTGGCAATGCAACTCTTAATTTTAACAATACAAAGGTGTTTTAACATGCATTTTGTCTTTCAATGAGATACAAATTTTATAACGCAAGTTTTCTTCAGTTGAGAACAAATTGTACTGCATATTGATTTCTGTCTCCTCAACTTTTAGCAACATCTTTCCATTAAGGTTTTTGTTTTTTAATCAGTCCTATAAAAGCTTTAACTGCTTTAAACATTTAACAATTAGTTGAATTCTGCATGTAGCGTTCAGAGTGTATAACCTTTGAATCAATCAGTGAATATACACTGTAATGAAATTATAGACTTTAATATGCTGAAGAGAAATAGATGTTTTGAGGAAAAGAGCTTTTGTCCGGAAGAGTAGGTTTAAGTGCACAGTGGAACATCACAAAAATGCCATTTTAAGATATTTTCTGTTCCTAGGGTTTTAAGTAACTGCATCCTTTAAACTTCTGTAGATCTGAGATTCACCTCAGTGTAACCCATAAAGACTTCAAATTAGGTATTGTTGGTAAGAAAAAAAATGTGAATTTTGATATGTAGATAATCAAACAGTAAATAAGATGAGAAAATACATTTCATTTTTTCACTATTGCTAAAACAGATTTGTTTCATAAAGGTATTTTCTGAGAATAAAATTAGTGACAACCCAATGAAACCAACTTAAGAACACAATGTGCATGCTTACCTGGAATTCTACGCACCATGCTTTAAAAAATAAAAGCAAGGACAGTATCCAATTGACAAATAGATGACTAGTTTGTAAAACAGAAAATCTGAATTCAGCTACACTAGGACACTTGCTATTTTGTTCAAGAACCTAATTACGAAGAATGAAGTTGGATCAAAATTTTAATAAGGAACTAATCTTATAAGTAGAGAATGCCAACAAGAGCATGATATAGCACAGCAGCAGACTGATGTTTCTGAGATTTTAAAAAGGGATAGATGCAATATGTAATAATAAAAAGTGACTCTGAAGTGTTTAAGAAGGTTGTGAAAGGGGAGGAAAAAATGAGAAGTCTCAGACAGTATGAAAACAGTTTTTAAAGTGACTTTTAAAAAGAATGAACTCATTTAAAAATGTGAGCTGCAATCCTATAATTCTTTTCAAGGACTCTACATTAAGCTTTCTGGCTGGCCATGGACAAGAGGGGGAAAAGCAGAGTTGTGCAAGGACATATCTTAACTACAAATCAATCAGCAATCAAGACAGATGGGAAGGAATGCTGAATCTAGCCTCTTGAATAACTGCAAACCAAAACGAAAAGCCTCTGCACCAAATTAAGTTAAGAGACTATGCAGATGCAAAATATAAAATAGACTAGATGATAATTGCCCTGCAGTTAAGCCATATGGGTGAAACAAATATTAATGTAAAGCCCTGGTTTAATGTGTTTGCTAATGACGCCCTGAAAATAAACCATGTATCAAACTCTTTTGAGTCCTTTGTGTGAGTCATCAGAACACAGAAACTGAGGCAAAGAAACAAGCAACAGGGACTACAAAGTAAAGAAAAATAAGCATCTGATGCTTAACTCACCTTATTGGAATGAACAGGCAAATCACAGATAGAGCACAGATGGGGATAGCCCTTCGGTAAGAGTCCATGGAAGTCTTCAACATTGCTATCTGGAGGAGCACCTCTCTTTTTCTCAAAGAGAGATCTCTCAGGGCCGCGACCCATCCTCTCATACTCACTGTCAAATTTACGATACTTATGCGAGGTTTCACCATAATAAGAGTCATCCCTATACCTTTCTCCATCTCTTAATCTGTCATCTTCATAATCCATTCTGTCATAAACAGACTCTTGAGAACGACTTCCATGATCGTAGTCAACCACTCGGTTGAGACTAGAACCACGATCATCAAAGCTATCTCTTCTAAAATGCCTTTTCTCTTCCCAATCATCCCTAGGAACTCTGTATGCTGGATCCCGTGCAGCTGATCTGCCATCTCTACCATAACTCAGTGAAGGGCCTTCTTCAGCTCTCCTCCTTTTAAGTTGCAGAAGTATTTGAGGCAAGTTTTCAGGAGTGATCTTGTCCTCAGGGTAACGACTCAGTTCATCTAAGTCTCTAGCAGACAGACCAAAGCTGGCCAGAATGTTAGTGGCCTGCTCGGCATCTCCGCGGTGCTGAGAAGGCAGAGAGAGTGGGCCTCTACTTCCAATGTTAAATATAGACTGTAAGGCATGGGAAGATGCACTAGCAGAAGACAGTGCACTATGAGATCCTTGTTGATTCAATGAAGAACTCATTCCAAGATTCATTAAGCTAGCAAGGCGTGCAGTACCCTGGTTCATCCTTCCAAGAGATGCTGGCACACTTAAAGACTGAGTAGCAGCAGCAAGAAGGCCTATTCCTGCAGACAGGTCACGTCCATGACCTTGGGAATCCCTACTTAGAGATGACTGGTGGAACGACTTGGACATTGCTGAACTATAGATTGTCTATTATGGATCAAACGTTAGAGATGTCTGAAAAGAAAGCTCACACTAGAAAGCTAGGTAAACTTCACTTCAAAAAGGTAACGCCAAGAAAAGGGATCAATAATGACTGTAGATCTTCTTCAAGCTGAGAACACCAGACAAGTCTGTAGAAAAACAAGCAGTTTTAGTCATAAATCCCTTTATGAAGATGCAGTTTTAAAATGTATGCATCATGTTGATCTAAAACCAATTTAAGATCTTACATGGCTTTTATTATGTAACGTCAACAGACTGAAGATGCAACCCAGAACCCTATTATACATAGCCCTCAGGTGAAAATCTAGCTTTCCCCCCCCAGATAAGCACCAATTGTTGCCAATCAATGTGCGCTTTTGTTTTGATGAGAAATTGTTTTCAAGCACTGGTTGTACAGAACCGTCTGTTTTCAAGCCCCCTAGCAGGGTGCATACATCTTATGTTACTGCTCTGGATTCCAGGAAAAAGACAATACACCAGTCATGGAACCAAGAAATGTAACTCAAATTGTCGAACATTAAGCCTATAGAGGAAATGATAGCAGGAACTTAGGAGTGGCTGATATCTGGACATGTGTCTAATGAAGAGTTACTAAGTGAGACCAAATAATTTACACTCAGTAGAACTGAATTAGTACTATAAGATTTGTGAAGGAAAACAGGTTTAAAGTTTGGTAGAAGCACACAAGACCTCTCATTCAAGTAATAGTTTATATGTTGTTAGTACCACATATGAACTGTACCTGCATATTTTTAACATTACATTGTGAACATGGCACATTAGTCTGCACTAAGATTTCAAGCCAACCAAGACCAGACCTCATTAATACTTGAAGTGGGAAACTACAATTTTGTTTAAAGAAGAGAAATGCTATGGCACTATTCCAATCAAGCAAGTTGTTCAACTGTTATCTTTCAGATGAGACTTGACTGTAAGCTATAGCCACAGGTGGTAGTAAGTTTCCCATGACATGACTATTCTTTTAACAAGCCCTTTTTTATTCTTGCAGTGCTTATCTAGGTCTTCCTATGCCAACAGTGAACATTAAGAAGCCCACGTGTCTCTCTACAGTCATCTTAAAAGAAGAGAAGAGCTCATGAGATTTTTCTAAAGTACCCAAGAGTGAAAGTTTTATAAACTTCCACAGAAAACTGAGGCCTCAAGTTACTCAGGCACTTCCGAAAATCCCACTAACTGCAGTCTTATAATACTCAGTATTCTACCTACAGAGGAATAGTTTAGGGATGGGCAGAAGACTAATGAATGTTTTCCATGGTCAGTTCTCCAATTAGCAGGGAAAGATGAAAAAAACCTTCAGGCAAGTTTTAATGAAATGTTCATTTTCTTAGAATTACCTATTATGTTTCAGTTATAAGTGAAAATGTTTTACTAAAGATCTGATTAACTTTGATAGTGTTAAGACGCTAAACCATATAGATGGATATTTATATTGCCTGAAAACCTGTATTACATGCACACTTTTATCACCTGCGAAGAGATAGCACAGGGGCTATTTTAACACACAGCTCTCAAACACTGTGATGCAAATGGTTACTTCTCATTAACTGATTACCAGTTGTGTCACTATTATAGTAATGAGAATTTTCACTGTAACGTCCAGTTACATTTTGTCAAATTGAGTACCATGTGGGTGGGGAACAATTGAAAAGCATTGATGCAAGTGTAGAACTAGAAGGATGGTCCAGATATTGCAAGTGCAGAGCAGATGTCAACAGAAGTAGAAGAGAGAGCAAATGTCAAGTGAAAAGAATACCATCCATACCAGTGGCAAAACAAAGAATTTCTGAGCAAAATGGTATTCTAACAAGTGTGCATGAGGTGCTGGCAATCTCATGCTCAGCAACAGCATTACACAGTTTGAACAAGAACTTTCGTTGATCACAAGGAAAAGTTTTTCAGGCTTGTAAACAACCACTCACTCCCAGACTAGTAGGTGCCAGCCACAAGTAGATGAATTAAAAAGATCACTACCAAGCCCAGTTAGCATTCTGTACATATGTGGATTATATAGCCAGCACCTTCCCTTGCAGAAGCAAAGCAACTGCTTGTCTTTCAGATTCTGTTACCTGCGATGACAGAGGTCAGTTGGAATATTTGTAATTTAATAGCTCACCACCTAACTTCCCAGAATCCTGCTTGATCTGAGACTTAAGTCATCAGCAAAGGTTAGTAAATAACTATGGGTTGTAGGCAACTAACCTCTACCCAGAGTAAAACTATTGAAATTTATGAACCCAAGTTAGTCATGGCCATTAATCTCATTGGGTCATTTACTCTGAGTATATATTAGTTGACTACAACCCTATTAATTTAATGTATAGAGCTGTCTGTAGTTAACAAACTGGCTAGAATCAAAGAAAGGGGCCTAAATCATGATTTTTTAAAATCCACACATTTCATCTTTGTAGATGTGCATGGGTCATCTACAGTTATACAGTGACGTAGGAAGGCTCTGCAGATACATAGGTGCCCTGGTACTCCAAGATTTATTCAGACAGAACCTTGAATTAGAAACAAGATGCTGGGACATTGCACTACAAGGCCTGACTTGCATTAAGCCCTGGAGGGTGCAGTGGACCTGCAAAGCCCTACTACCAAAAGCTCTTTTTGATAAAATGTAAACAGGCTCGTTTGGAAGAAAGGTGAGAGTAACCATAGAAGCCTGATATTCAAGCTCAGTCATAAAGGAAAGGGATGTCAACCTTTAGATTCAAAGACATGAAATAAACAAACTTATTTTAAAACAGTGCAAGTCCGAGCCAATAAGCACTTTTTCAGGTGTTTCAGCAGGCTGGATTTTCTATGTGTTCCTCTTTCTGTGGTGTGGATGACTACCTCTTTGAAATTACTTCAAGGTAGAAACACTGCCAATTGTGTGTTTTTCTTTGATTTTTACTTTTGCAACCCCAGAACAGTTCCTTAAAGGCCTAAAATAAGAACATTATACGGATTCTGAGAAGTATTTTCAAGTCCACATATAAATGGGCAGACTTATTTGCAAGGCTGGTTATGTTCCTTACAAAATTCAGAACTCTACCCCTCTGCTTTGAGTTAGCTGCTGAAGGTTTTGGACAGTATCAGACCCAGGAGAATCTGAAGAGTACCTCCTGACAGAGTTGGGCTGGACAGCAGATGGTTTCACTGCACAGCCTGGTTTCCACACAAGGAGCGACTGCTCAGGCTTATTATGAAAGCGATGTTAACCTACAAAGAAAAAGAAGATATGAGAGAAACAAGCCTTAAAAACAGAACACTAAAAAGAGGTAGTGCATTGACAGAAATTGAGTTGGGGAAGAGGGAATAGGGACAATAGCGACAATACCCCCATAGAAATAGGGCCAATATTACTTCTCTGTAGTTCAGCTAACAGTGCAACCCTAACCGTATCTTCTCAGAAGTTTTACTGAATTCAGTGGGGCTTGCTCCCAGGTAAGAAGAGTTGGAATACAGCCTAACTGTATTTTGAAACACATTAATGATTAAGGAATATGAACTAGAAAGAAATTAGGAAGATATATTTAGCATTCTTATGGGTATTTCTTCTAGTACTCTAAAAACAGGAAGGAATGATAAGGCTATCAATGGATACTAGTCATACTGGCTTACGTACTTCAGTATCAGAGCAATCTCTCTGAACACAAGGTGCTAGAGATCACAATGGGAGAGGACAATTGCACTCATGTCCTGGTTATGGGCTTCCCACAGGCAACTGGTTAGTCCCTGTGATAACAGAATGGTGGACTAGATGGGCCTCTGTCAAACCCAACACACTCCCTTGAGAAAGGAGCTGCCAAGCTTATGCCAGCATGTGGTTTTCTCCACTTTTTTCAAGTTTAGAATCTGATTCAACTTCTACAACGCAGTTTCACCATCTCATATGAACAGAAATCTTGAGGTAGTAGTAGTACTTGAATCCCCAACGAATTTGAATACAGCTGCTGTTAAGGGGAAGCACTACAGGGTAAACTGCAAAAAATACTTGTCTTACAAGAGATGCAAGTTTTTATTGGAGAGTCTGTCAAAAACAAGTAATCAGAATTGTGATGAATCTACATGGCTCAGAGCATGCTGGGATGTGAATTCAGGGAGAGAAAGAGGCAAACAAATAGGAGGCCAAATTCTCTTCCACGATGAATGAAAGTAGTCCACTGCCAGTATTTAGGTACTCTTTTGGTCAAGTGTCATGATGGAACCTCACGCCATTTAAGGTTCAGAAGCAAGGGATGCAGAGAAACAAGATCTTCATGTGGTGATTCAGTCCCTCTATTAGAGAGAACTCTAAAAATATGTTTGACAACATAAAATACACCATTGCCATCATCTAGCAAAGGATCTTGGAATAACATCACTAGATAGTTTTTAAGAACCGGAAAAAGAGATGCATCACATAAGTGGGCCATTGCTAGTAGCTGCTAGAATAGAACTGGCTGAAAACTGGAAAGTGACAACTTCATAGGAGCAAAATGTACAGAATAATATGAGAGCATTTAATCACAGGAAAATTTACATCTCAATGGAGTATGAGAGACAGATACATTCTATATGGCATTATTTTATGTCCTATGCAAAAAGAAAAGAAAAAAGAGAGGAAATGCTCTTCAGAATACAGACTAACTTAATTTTGTCAACCTTATATATTTTATCAAATCTTGCGTACCATAGGAGCCTATTTTGAATTGTGGCCATTTTAAAATGGGATTATCAGTTGAGGTTGTATCTTCTATATGTGATATGTATGTCTCTGTGAAAAAGAAACTCTGCATTTCACATGCAAACACCTGAAGTTACAGCCATATTTTTTAACCATAACCATCTGTGAGTTGCAAATAATTTTATGTGAATGTTTGTAAGTTAAACATAATCAAGAACATTCAGTTCTTTCTTCATCTTTGGCACAGCCCTTTCAAAGGCGGTTCAGATCAACTTAAAAAAGAATCCAATAAAAACCAGCAGTAAAATAGTAAATATAAATAAAACCAGCAATTAAATTATGCTTAAAAGCCCAGGCCAACCATAATCAGTTAAAATTAGATGCAAACAACCAGCTCTTTAGCATCCATTTAAAAACAATTGAGGAAGTAAAGTTCACTTCCTGCAGGAGCAAGTTCCATAATGAAGTAGTCAATAATGGTTAATATTCAGAATATCTATTTAACAGAACTGTAAAAAAAGCCTTGTGCAGAGCAATTCTTGGCTTTTGGGCTGGAACCCTAGGGACAGCCTAAATACAAACTATTTAAAAAATAGCTACAGTAAAGTAAGTGTGCAGATATAGTGCAGTCTAGTGTGTGTCCATTTCTACATTAAGCCCATGTATATATTTACCAAGAATTATGCAAGGCTAGAAAGCAATGGATTCTATTTGTGGTTAAATTAAAGACTTGATTTGCTTCACAGATACCTCGGTCCCTTTAACAGAAAACTAAGGTAGTGATGAATCTTAGCAAAAGTGGAGCCAGAATACGGTCACTGTGAAACAAGAGGGAGAAATCACCATGCTCTGATGAACTGCAACATATGCAGAAAGGCAACTGAAAAGTTAAGAGATCTAAGAAGGGGCACCCCTCCCCTTGTAACTCAATTGGGACCTCCACAAGGCACAATATGTTTTGAGTGCCAGCTGGAAAACAAAAACACAAAACTGGTTGGGAGTTGAGGGGAGAACGAATGGTTTGCTTGGAGTATCCCTGAGCAGGCATATTCCTCTCAGGGTTTCAGGATACACAGTAACATTCAGTGTATCCTCAAGAATTATTGGTATTCATTTGGCTCAATGAAAAAACAGATAAAGTAGTGCAGCCTCCTGATAAGGAAAATAAACAGATTTCCTAAGAAAATGATCCAATCATTCACTGGTATGCCCTCAAACTCTCCACCCAATCAAAATGGTTGTTTCCAAGCCAGTGCAAGACCCTTGCTCTCTGTAACCTCCAAATGTAATCTTGATCCTCCCTTCTTTGACCCAATTCCTAATATGTAATTTGGTTTATTCAAATCTGTGAAGTATGGGTAACCAAATGATGTCTCAAACCCAGCACCCTGATAACCAAAAAACACAGATGTGAAAAGATGAAATCTGAAAAATTCCGGAAAAATGGCCTCTCCCCACAAAAACAAAGGAAAAGTTGGACATTCTGGAGGAAGCTGTTGAGGGAAAAAAAACCTTTAGATTTTTCAGAACAGAGTAACTTCTGATGAATCCTGAAGGAATGTCATTTGAGAATGTCAAGCGATAGTACTGCAGAATCATGGTTACAAGAATCTGCACAAGAAAAGAAACACTGAAAGTGGCAAAAAAAAAAAAAAAACCCTCAACGTAGCTGCAAGACAAACCTCAAACTGGCGCCAAATAGACTGAGTTGGAAAAATACTTTTTAGACCGTCTATTGAAATTTCAGATCCAGAATTCAGAGAATGCGTTGCTGAAATAGAATTATTATGCTTGGGGGGAAAATATTGTCAAATCACATATATCATTGTGGTATTCTATTTTCATGCTGCACATCGTTTTGTTATACGTCCTCTGAAAGTTTAGTTGAGAAATATTTAAATAAGTAACGGGCACTTTTTGACCTTCAATTAGCACCAGTGTGAAGATTGCCTCACAGTTGCAAGTGGCCTTGAGATTTATGCACTTTACTGCCACTGCTTTCCTTAAAAAATACATAAGAGGTAGGAGGAGCATCAGAGTTTTAACATCCAGGTATAAAAGGCCAGGGGAGCAGTGTGTACTCAGCATACAATAAAAACTACATAATGAAGCTGCCCACACTTCTGTGAGGAGGGAATGCCACAGTTTAGGGGCTCCAACAGCGAAGGCCCTCTCTTGGACTGCTATGCACCCCAGAACTGGGCGGTAGAACTCCCAAGAAGGCCATTTGAGGTGTTAAGAGAGGGATGGACGCAGTCAGATATTTGGGGTCTAAATTACTTAGGGGTTTAAGCACAAATGTGAGCACCATGAATTGGACCTGGAAGCAAATTGTCAAGCAATGTGACTCTTTTAAAACTGGAGTTAGATGAATTCCAAACAAAACCTCAACCAGTAAAATTCAAGACAAATCAAGGCATTACTTTACTTTGGTATCTTTTGGTATGGAGTTTTTAGTGACATACTTATTGCATTTTGTATTGGCACAAGAAAAATCTGCAATTTAGATGGAAATGAACCCATGAACCAAGAGTGCTGGAGACAGTAAGCATATACTTAAGATACACACACCATAAACCAAGGCATATTTATTCAGTGGTACTATTATTTTATTATTATATTTATTTATATTGTGCTTTTCCCCAGACTGGGACTCAAACTTTTCCATTCAATGGGATTTACCAGGACTGCAGCTATCACTAGGGAGAAAGGGGGAATAGAGTAGATGATTATTTAACAATAATTGTTATATCATTTGATTATATGAAAACCTTTTAAGAGAAGTTTGCAAAAGTATAAAACACTGAATTTATTTAAGAACATTTAAAATATTATTGAAATCAACATTTGATAAGTGAGATGATACCACATTAGATCTTTCCTCCCATCCCAACATGTTCATATCACATTATAAGTAGGCCTACAAGCTGGAAACAAAGTTTGATTCACCATAAAGGATCTAGGAGATTAAACTATTATATTTAATTTCTAAGAATGAAACAAATTTTTATTTTTATTTTTACATCTTCAAGAGCATCAACTTAGAAAAGCCATTCCTCCTGTGTGAGGAAAGGGAGAATGCAAATGGAAAAGACAACGCTAAGCATCAATTTTTAGAAACATGTCTATTAAAATGGTTAATATGTTGCCTGATTTAACCAGGGAACTTTTTTTAGCTGATTAATATTTAACCGATTCATCACTGCAACCAAAGATGTGGGGTGGAAAATAGCACCGCTGGAAATTTTTCATAAAATTTAACACAATGAGAACACACTCTAGAAGTCAAATTTGGTTACTGTAATGGATACAATACTAGTCAACTCAAAAACAAAGACGTAGAGCTTTTTTCAGGCCAAAGCTATATTTATGATCACAGCTTTTCAGGGTTTGGCATGTTAATTTTCAGTGCTGCATTTAAAAATATATATAAATGTATGACAAGTGAACACTTTTATATTGTTACATCTTAATTTTCATTAGTGGGGCTTTCAAATATTTATACAGAATGTAAATTTAACAAGATTAACAGACATTTTAGTTTACTATATGTAACTCAGACCTCTTATCAAGTATGGGCAACGGGGGGGGGGGGGATCCAAAAAGTCACACATCTCTGGTTGCAGTCCAAACAGATATTACAGATTGCTAGGAGAGTAATCAATCAACTCAAAATAGCCAAGCAGCTTTACATAAGCATGTTTTTCAGAAGATTCTGACCACAATTTAATAATTTGCATGTGTGAATGGTTGCCATTTTGATTTTAACAGTTCTCACAGGACATGTTGAGTATGCAAATGTAATACCATTTATAGTCTTTAAAATCTGGAGGAGGGCTGCAAATATTGCTGACCAAGATTAATTCTCAACCAGATGGTGAATGCGTGACCAAACATCTGCTGTTTTTCTGGGCACAGGAAGAAACTAGAATGAAGAGAAAGGTTCTAGCTTGGGAAGCTAGCATGTGACAAAGTAGAATGTATACAATATTTTTTTAAAAAATGGTAGCGGGATGCATTATTTCACCTTGTAAGCTCCCACCTGCAGTCTTCAGTGTTTCGATGCAGAAATAACTTGGCTATCTCAATGTCGACTACAATGCATTTTACTAGGACTATTGTAAAATGTATACTATGCTACATTGGAGGACAGTGACTCAGTAAACATTGGCTCCTTTGTGAGCGGAGTTAAGTTTGCTTGATAAAAACCCAGTTTACCAAGCGTAGTGTGTGACAAAGAATCAATGGTACTCCTTGCTGCGAAGATGTGACAGCTTACAATTATTCAAATATTCCTCAGGCGTTAATATAGCTGAAAGCAGCAACTTCAAAATAATATCCGGGTCCTTTAATGATTACTTAGTTAAATATGTTAAGTTAAATTAACTGAAAACAGCTTGCAGATACTTAATTGGCTTAGGATTTTATTTATAATAATAATTTATTTATACCCCGCCCTCCCCAGCCAAGGCCTTATGTTAAGGGATGAATTAATATGTTTAATTTCATAATGTGAAGATCTAAGGATGTTAATGTTTAAGTTAAATTTTAGAAGAACAGTGATTTGGAAAACCGTTAAAAGGATATGCAATGAAATTCAACCAAGGGGAAGCGAGGAAGTCACTTAACCATGTTAATAAGTATAATTTTCAATAAGGCTATAATTTATGTTTGTTTGTCTTGTGTGTTTGTTTATAAAGTTGTGAAAACCAATAATTATTTTTTTTTTTGTAAAAAAAACAGCAACAAAATATCCGGGTCCTTTGTGGATGGCGTTGGTCAAGAGGACCCAGCAAAGAAACACTATGTGCGACCTTTACCTTTAACCAGTTCGCAGCAGCAGCAACTAAGTTGAAGACACCATTTTTACGAGCTGCGAAATAGCTAGATTAGAAAGAGATACGAGAACTATCCCTAGCGAGAGAACAAAAAGGCTGCCAGAGGCGGAAACCAACGGATAAAAAGGCATTTTCGCCCAAGACCCGCGCATGCGCAACATGCCCGTCTCCGACTAGGCCCCATGGTTTGTCTCGCGCCCGCGCATGACCACTCCTCAGGCCCCGGCGCCATGGCCTCCCCAGCCCGGCCCCAACACGCGAGGGTTATTCTCCTCAGGTTATAGTATAACGCGCCCTTTCCCCACCCTCCGTCCGTCTTTCCAACGGTTCAGCTGGAACGGCGAGAGAAAAAAACACCACTTTCTCGGCCTGACAGGAATAGGCACAGGCCGCTCACACCTCTCCTACCTCAGAAAGAAAGCGAGCCTCTCACGCATTTGCGGTCCTCACCACGAACGTAATGTGAGGAAAAGGGACCCCCCCTCCTTCAGAAAATAAAAAAAAGACCCTCCACAAACGAAGCTGCGTAAGCGTCGCCCCCACAACGCTTGTATTACACCGCTAATCCGCCTAGCGCATGCGCCGCCCGGTCCGCGGATAGCGACTGTTGTGCGCATGCGCTCCCCCAGCGCGAGAAGCTACGCACTTTAAACTGCTCCGCCCTCCGCGCCTCTCGCGAGATGATAAAATGTGGTTTTCCCCCCTTTCCCGCAGTCTCACTTCATCGTTCCTGAAAGGGTAGGGGGATCACGTGGGGCTGATCACGTGTTCGCCTGTTGCCTTTTGTCTCCGCGGTTCAGGTTTCTCGGTTCATTCGCATTCAGAATAAGGCTTTGTGGCACTTTGGCTGGTGCTAATATTACATTTCCTTAAATTATCAAGAGGGTGTCCTTTAACCCGACCTTTATATGTGCTTAAGCGGAAATGAAGACCTTCTGTTTTCAGTCTTCCCCAGGATTGCAGCTTTAAACAGGAATCTGAAAGGATATTGTTGTTGTTTAATTATTATTATTAATAATAAAATTATTGTATTAATAATTTCAATTCTAGACCACACGTCGTCTGATGATTACAAGGCGGTTTACAATATAAAAGCACAAAAATACATACCATCGTAACAAGCAAACTAACCCACCACCACCCAGATTAAAAGGCCATAGGTTGTTTAAGGCTTGGGAAAATCAGAAAGAGAATTGCAGAGTTGGAAGGGACAACAAGGGTCATCTAGTCCAACCCCCTTTCTGCCCAATGGACCCTGAGATTAAGAATCAAGTGCAGGGGCCAGCAACCTTTTTCAGCCGTGGGCCGGTCCACTGTCCCTCAGACCATGTGGTGGGCCGGACTATATTTTGAAAATAAAAATAAAAATGAATGAATTCCTATGCCCCACAAATAGCTCAGAGATGCATTTTAAATAAAAACACATATTCTACTCATGTAAAAACACCAGGCAGGCCCCACAAATAACTCAGAGATGCATTTTAAATAAAAGGACACATTCTACTCGTAAAAACACGCTGATTCCCAGACTATCTGCGGGCCGGATTGAGAAGACCATTGGGCCAGATCCGGCCCCCGAGCCTTAGGTTGCCTACCCCTGGTCTAGTGCTCTACTGACTGAGCTATCTCATCTACAGTAATTATTATTTTTTGAAGTGCAATTTTTTTTGCCTGGTACCTAAAGGTATGTGATGGAGGCACCAGGCAAGCCTCCCTAAGGAGAGCATTGCACAATATTTACGGTGAGCGAGTCCCGCACAGGTCAGCAGAACTTTTCCAGAGCGCACCTGGTTAAGTTTACTACGTTCACAGTGCTACGTAGGATTAAAGCAACAGCGATGTCTTTCGAAGACAGGATTGGAGGAAAAGACTTCCTCTCCCCGGGGTAGTTCGCCTGGCGCCTTCATTATACACCTTTAGGCACCAGGCAAAACCGTTCCTTTTTAGGGATGTTTTTAATGTTTGGTGATTTATTGTATTTTTAATATTTTGCTGGAAGCCGCCCAGAGTGGCTGACGAAACCTAGCCAGATGGGCAGGGTATAAATAATAACAATAATAACAATAATAACAAGGCCTTTGGTTGACCGGATTGACAGCCAACATCCTATACCCTTTTAAAATGTGGCTCTTTTTTGGGGGGGGGGTTGTTATTGGGTCATTGTTCTTATTTTGATTTCCCCCCAATTTTTTTATTGATTTTCCAAAAAAAAATTCAAACAAACAAACAAACAAACATAAATCTCAACATTGTTCTTATTCTGATTTAATAATAATAATAATAATAATTTATTATTTATACCCCGCCCATCTGGCTGGGCTTCCCCAGCCACTCTGGGCGGCTTCCAAAATAAATATTAAAATACTGTAATACATCAAACATTAAAAGCTTCCCTAAATTTAATTTACTAAATAAAATAAAATAAATTCCCTAATTTAATATTTTGTAATCTTTTCTGTGAACCACCTTGAGACCTCTGAGTATAGGGTGGTATATAAATTCAAAAAACGAAACAAAATAAGGATGATGTAGCTGTAGTCTCGCAACAGTTTGAGGAAACACGGCACGGTCCTCTCTAATCTTTCTTATATCTGTGTCCGCTCCCCCCACCGAGGGGCGGAGCCCGCCACTCTCCCTCCCGCCCCCTTAGCGACGAAGGCGAGGGGAAGGTGGGTGACGCGGCCGCTCCTGATTGGCGGAGCGTGTTGCCTTAACTTTTCCCTGGTACTCGCGGAACGGTGGGGAAGCGGTTGATCTTGGAACTCCGCGAGCAGGCAGCTGGGCACTCGCGCATCGCAGCATCTCTCCCCGGACGCACTGCGCAGCATTCTAGTCCTCAGTGAGGTCTTGTTCCCAAACTGCGCTGCAGGTAGGAGCTCGCAGTCTGCTGCGGGCTGGGCAGGGGCTAAGGGCGCTCCGGTAATAATGGAGGGACCTTTTCGGGAGTCCCTCTGCCTGCTTAGAAAGCCAGCATTTCGGGATGGGGGTGAAGAGTAGCCTAGGACCCTTCTCCTAAAATTAAGGTTTTCTCTTGTTTCCACATAATAACGGCGAAGTTTTCAATATTTTTACTATGAGCCCCGTTGCCCTGTTAAAATCAGGCACAAGTTAGACCAAGGCATGTAAAGCTGATGGGATAGCTCAGTGGGTAGAGCGTGAGGTCTCAGGATGTCGTGGGTTCGTGCCCCTTGTTGGGCAAAATAATAATACTAATAATAATTAATAATTCGTTATTTATACCAAGTCCATCTGGCTGGTTTTCCCCAGCCACTTTGGGCGGCTTCCAACAAAAGATTAAAAATACGTTAAAACATCAGTCATTAATAATAATAATAATAATTTATTATTTATACGCTGCCCATCTGGCTGGGTTTCCCCAGCCACTCTGGGCGGCTTCCAACAAAACACTAAAATATAATAACCTATTAAACATTAAAAACTTCCCTAAGCAGGGCTGCCTTCAGAAGTCTCATAAAAGTCAGATAGTTGTTTAATAATAATAATAATAATAATAATAATAATATATACCTCACCCATCTGGCTGGGTTTCTCCAGCCACTCAGGGCGGCTTTCAACAAAATAATAAAATTACAATAAAACATCAAACATTAAAAACTTCCCTAATCAGGGCTGCCTTCTAAAAGTCAGATAGTTGTTTATTTCCTCGACATCTGGTGGAGGGCGTTCCACAGGGCAGGCGCCACTACTGAAAAGGCCGTCTGCCTGGTTCTCTGTAACGTCACTTCTCGCAGGGAGGGAACCACCAGAAGGCCCTCGGAGCTGGACCTCAGTGTCCAGGTTGAACGATGGGGGTGGAGATGTTCCTTCAGGTCTACTGGCAAAAGGTTTTGTGTATTGCATGGGTTGGGCTAGATGACCCTTGGGTCCCTTTCTTCCAACTCTGCAGATTCTCGTGGGGATTGGATGGTAATATGGAGAGGATTGGGTGGCTGGTGTAGAAGCTTCCTTGTGCCTGTTACCCCTCTGTAGCATCTCTGTTGGGAAGGAAGTGGGGGTGGGGGAGAGTAGGTGGTGGATAAATAAGGGTTTTGCCTAGCATGCTTGTCCTTTTTAAAAGGAGCCCATTCTCTTTATTTTCTGCGTGGTGATTGCAGCAGTCCCGTGACATGACTGGTTGGGCGTTTGACTGGTTGAATGGCGGTCTAGTACTTTTAAAAGCACAAAATGGCACGTGGACTGAGAAGATACTATTCAATTAGTCTAGAATTTATTTTTTAGTAGCATTTATACATTAATACCACACACTGAGAGGATACTATTCAATTAGTCTGGAATTTATTTGTTTTTTTAGTAGATTTATACATTTATACCACACACTTTAGCCAGAAAAATTCAGAGAGCAACTTGCAGATCAATAAAAAATAACGTCCATGCTTAGGTTAATTACCAAAAAAGCAACCTTTTTGTGTGTGAAATAGTGACATGAACTTTACAGTACAGTGGTACCTCTAGTATGAACTAAATTCGTTCCAGAAGCCCGTTCTTAACCTGAAACTGTTCTTAACGAGAGGCGTGCTTTCACTAATTTTTATGTACCTTGCTTGTGGTGGCTTGTATTTTTCTTAACTTGCAGACTCACAGTGTATTTTTGGCACTTAATTTCATGATTCCGGCATCTAGAATTAACAGGCAACTGGTGCTTGATGTTTGCATGTGTGTACATTACTATACTCATTAAAACTTGCCTCCATAATTGAATTTTCTTATTCTGCCCCTGTCTGGTCCATTAGCATTCTTGTGAACATGTGGTACAGTTCTGGCATGTCACTAATTTTTGAAACACATTGCTTTTCAATGATACAGATATATAGAGTAACTTGCAACAGAATTTCAAAAAACACCACATTAATTAATTTCCTATTCCGCCCTTCATCCGAGGATCAAGGGGTGGTTTACAGTATAAAAGCACAAAAATACATAACATAGTAAGAAGTGAAAATAATAACCCTACATACACAGTTTAAAAGGCTATAGATTGTTTAATATGGCATCATAGGTTCAAAACGCAGAATGCCAAAATGGTAGCGGCATAAATATCAACATTTAGATTCTGTTTGCAAAAGAGCACTGTGCAGGATTCACAAGGCCTAGCCTAGCAGAGTAAATGAGCTTATATTAGTTGCTTCAGGTTGGAGGCCGTTAATGGAGGCAAGTGGAAAAGTTTTGCTTGGGTAGCTCTCCAGATGTGTTATTTTTTTTTAAAAAAAATAATTTTTATTGAATGATTTTATGTTACAAAAAACAATACAGTCATACTACCACTAAATATAATTAAGAAATAAAAATTACACACATCAATATTTAGTTTATTTGTTATTTAACATCTTATTTCCTCCCAAACATTCCATACAAAAACACACATATGTGCAGACACCCACACCCGCACACAAAATGATAATAATGAAAGTAAATTTCCCCCCTTTTATCTTCCAAAATCTTTTCTTCAACTTTGACTTCCTGTCAAGTCCCTTTGCATATATTTTATCTTACAATCAAATGTACCCAAAACAATAAACCTTTCTATATAAATTTTCCAATACATTCTGAAAACATAATACATCCTTAATTGTTGTCCACCTCCTTTTAGTTCCTTCATCACTCGAATGAACATATCTTCTATAACCATCCCATTTTTCCGCAAATTTTTGCTTTGAGTTTCCTCTGAGTTTACTAGTCAGTTGAGCCATCTCCACCAATACCTGTAATTTGATTTGCCAATCTGTTATTTTTGGAGCCTTGTGATCTTTCCATCCCTTGGCCACAAGTATACGAGCTGCTGTGGTTGCGTACAAGAATACCTCTCTTAGATTTTTTGGGATCTCTTTATCTAAAACACTTAATAGAAATGCCTCCGGTTTTTTAGTAAAAGTTATCCCCAACTCTCCAGATGCTTTAGACTAGAACTTCAATCACTCCAGCCCAGCATGGCTGGGGGTCAAGGATGAAGGGAGTTGCAGTCCGACGACATCTAGAGGACACCAGGTTGGGGGAAGGCTGATCTAGAAATTAGTGGGTGCTCTTGTGTGGGTGCTCCTAGTCCTGGGGCCATGGAACCTCCTTGTGAAGGTAGTCCTCCTCTCTCCATCGGGTCCTCAAAACTCTCCAGGTCACCGGCGCTGCCTTGTACCCTGTTTGGCCTGTCTGGAATGTGTCCTTGAATTCTGATAATACTTGTTTGGATGGATACAGAGCAGTGTGTGACTCTGTCTCTAGAATCTAACCTACTCTACAAAGTCAAACTTGTGTGTTTGGCTTGTTACCCACAAGCCTGTGGCCTTCAGAAGATTACCCGGAAAGGAATGTGGACTGAAAAAAATTATCTGCCCTTACGCATCTCCTTCTCAGGTCATCTTGAGGGGTGGAGTGATTCAAACCCTCTTTGAGCAGTGTTTGACTTAGCCAGTCACGTTTTGCACCTGGCTACTGACCACTTGTGGGACACGGGTGGCGCTGTGGGTTAAACCACAGAGCCTAGGACTTGCCGATCAGAAGGTTGGCGGTTCGAATCCTGTGCCACCATTGCCCCAGATCTGGAAGGGGCAATGCTGGGGTGGGAAGGAGTGGCAGTGTGGGCGTTTGCCACATGACTTGGGTCTTCTTCTCTTTTTTATAATTTTTATTCATTTTACAAACATTTATATTGTCATACATTTTACAAATTTCCATCTCTTATACAATCTTTTGGACTTCCATCAGCTCCTCTGATGATCTCCCGTCTTTACGATTTCTCCTGCATTTCTTAAATTTATATTACCTTTACACATCATAACCAATACCAACCTTTTCAGTCAATAAGGCAATAATTCAAATTATTCCCCTTACAAAACTTCCTGCAAACCTACGAATGTAATCGAATCATCACAATTACTTTTCATATAGTCCGTAAATTTACGCCAATCTTCTGTAAATCTCTGGTCCCGCTGGTTTCAATTTCTTCCCGTTAGTTTGTCAAGTTCTGCATAGTCCATCAATTTCATCCTCCAATCTTCTTTCGTCAGTAATTCTTCTTGCTTCCATTTTTTTGTGCCATCATTGCATACAAAAGCAACTTACAATCATTTCTATTTATATCAGTTCCTACAATGCCTAATAAAAATGCTTCTGGTTTTTTAATAAATGTATATTTCAACATTTTCTTCATCTCATTATATATCATTTCCCAGAAGTTTTTAACCTTTTTACATTCCCACCACATATGATAAAATGTTCCTTCTTTTTCTTTACATTTCCAACATTTGTTGCTTACCTTATACATTTTTGCGAGTTTAACGGGTGTGATATACCATTTATAAAACATTTTCATCACATTTTCTTTTAAGGCATTGCATGCAACATGACTTGGGTCTTCTGAGATTTACTTGGGAAGATCTGCACCAGGAACAGGCTGAGGTGCCTTTTGACATAGCTCTGAAAACCCAACTTGGGCAGTATTTCCATAGGCAAAACACCCACTTCGTTTTGAACAGAATATGTTTACGATGCCACAATTATAGTGTCATGCCAGCCTGATGCTATTATGCCACCCACTTTCCTTACTGCCGTGGCACTTACTTAAAAATCATTTGGTTAATATCCCTTCCAGTGTGTTTCTCCCATTCATTTGGCTCTCATTCCCTTGTTTATAGCCCTTTATATTTCTCCTTCGGTTGTTAGTAAGCTACTTAGCATTCCCAGAAGTGTTATGGTTTTTCTAAGGGAGCATAAAAAAATGCATTTGGGGACCGATTTCTCTTTCCTCACCCCTTTGCGTACAGGAGGCCCTGTGTCTTGTAGATAGTTGAAAACTGGGATGCTTCCCAGAAACTTTGGAATCATTTAGTAAATAATTACTTTTAAAACATTAACAGCAGCATGAATTAAGGAGGACTTGGTGAAGTCATATTTAACTTGCGTTTTCTATACACTTGAAAAACCAAAAGTTTTTGTTACTAAGTTTACTGATCTACAGGGACGCAGGTGGTGCAGTGGGTTAAACCACAGAGCCTAGGGCTTTCTGATCAGAAGGTCGGCAGTTCAAATCCCCGTGACGGGGTGAGCTCCCGTTGCTCGGTCCCTGCTCCTGCCAACCTAGCAGTTTGAAAGCACATCAAAGTGCAAGTAGAAAAATAGGTACCACTCCGGCGGGAAGGTAAACGGCATTTCTGTGTGCTGCTCTGGTTTGCCAGAAGCGGCTTAGTCATGCTGGCCACATGACCCGGAAGCTGTATGCTGGCTTCCTTCGGCCAATAAAGCGAGATGAACGCCGCAACCCCAGAGTCGGTCATGACTGGACCTAATGGTCAGGGGTCCCTTTACCTTTACCTTACTGATCTACGTTTAAAACTCTACCTCGAACCACTTACATTGTTTTAGGCTGCAGTCTCCACAGAGGCATGGTACATGAAAAATGTAACTTATCATACATACATCAATATGACTTTTGGGCTCACGATATAATTTGGGGAAAGTGTGTTGAAGTTGCAGCTGCTGTAGAAATGGGACAAAGTTCTTGTAGGTACTGTTATGTTTGGTCTAGTTCATTTGTGGGTTTGGGCGTTAATCTTATCTAGTGCAGTATTGGCGGAGGGGATTATGATTCAATGTGGAAATACGAGTTTTCTGTGTCTCCTGAAATGGTGGTTTTCAAACTTTTTCCTAGCCTCAGCGAAACCTTTCTACAGTGCTGCTCTAATGAGGAACCCCTGAATATAGAGTCACAGAGGAGAGAGGTATATATATATATGTTTTATTCGAAGGTAATGATGATGATTGTTGTTGTTATTATTATTAATTATTTCATTAATTAATTAATTTTTATAATGAATGATTTTAGAATGTTGTTTATGCTGTACTTTTGTACTGTTTTATTGTTGTTAGCTGCCCTGAGCCCGGCTTCGGCTGGGGAGGGCGGGATATAAATAAAATTTTTATTATTATTATTATTATTATTATTATTATTATTATTATTATTATTTCTATACTACTTTAAAAAGGTAAAGGTAAAGCACCCCTGGCAGTTAAGTCCCATCGCAAACGACTCTGGGGTTGCCGCACACATCTCGCTTTACTACCTGAGGGAGCCAACGTTTGTACACAGACAGTTTTTCCAGGTCATGTGGCCAGCATGACTAAGCCGCTTCTGGCGAAACCAGAGCAGCGCATAGAAACGCTGTTTACCTTCCCGCTGGAGCGGTACCTATTTATCTACTTGCACTTTGACGTGCTTTTGAACTGCTAGGTGGCAGGAGCAGGGACCGAGCAATGGGAGCTCACCCCGTCACGGGGATTCGAACCTCCGACCTTCCGATCGGCAAGCCCAAGGCTCAGCGGTTTAGCCCACAGCACCACCCGCGTTCCTTCCCTATACCACTTTACTTTGAAAGAAAAAAGTGGTTTCTGCTTCGTCTACTGCCCTCATCTCTTGCATTTTAACATTCTTAATAAAACTTCACATAATTTGGCTCTTGGGATCTGTTGTGTGCTTATGCCAATCTAGGATTCTGGTAATATCCCATGTGCCTGCCCTGCATAGGTAAAAGCGGGGGATTTCATAGGGGAAAGAGCAGCCTGCGCAGAACGCCTAGGTGAGGAAGGTAGCTGGATGCTAGTCCTTTTGTTCCTGATCAATCAAGATGGATTTGGCTGAGAAGAGCAGGGTGCATTGGTTCAAAGGAATAGCATGGCCTCCCAAAATTCAACCCACTTGGGGTCATAGAGGTTAATAGGAGGTGTGGGGCAACATCACTGGATTGCTTGGGTCACAACCAGCCTACCTTATAAGACAGTTGTGCAAGCGAGGCCATAAAGAAGCTCTGTTATCCTCTCCCTTTTACTGGGCTGCTGGTGATGCCTCTGTTATCTCCCAGCTACGGTAGCAGAGGCACAGGAGTAGGACGTCAGTGGTGTTACAACTTAGCCCTCAAATATTCCAACCACGGGACAGCAGGGCACATAGTTCCTGGATCTGCAAATTCTAGAAGTGTACAGTGCTTACAATTCCAGGTACAGTGGTACCTTGGGTTAAGTACTTAATTCGTTCCGGAGGTCCGTTCCTAACCTGAAACTGTTTTTAACCTGAAGCACCACTTTAGCTAATGGGGCCTCCTGCTGCCGTCACACCGCCGGAGCACGATTTCTGTTTTCATCCTGAAGCAAAGTTCTTAACCTGAAGCACTATTTCTGGGTTAGTGGAGTCTGTAACCTGAAGTGTATGTAACCTGAAGCGTGTGTAACCCGAGATACCACTCTACAGTGGTACCTTGGGTTACAGACGCTTCAGGTTACAGGCTCCGCTAACCCAGAAATAGTACCTCGAGTTAAGAACTTTGTTTCAGGATGAGAACAGAAATCACGCTACGGCAGCAGAAGGCCCCATTAGCTAAAGTGGTACCTCAGGTTAAGAACAGTTTCAGGTTAAGTACGGACCTCCGGAACGAATTAAGTACTTAACCTGAGGTACCACTGTACGACTTTTGGGTTCCTGAAATGCACTCCGTTTGTGCAGATGAAATATAATAGAGAAAGGGGAAAAAAGGAGAGAGGAAAAAGAAAAGTTTTTGGGGGAAGGAAGCAGAAATAGACTTGACACTTGGAAGGAGGAAGAGAGGGAAAGAGATCTGGGAAAAAGCAAAACCAAAAGATGGGGGACAGAGAAGGAAGTGGTGGGAAGTTCTCTAATTTTGTTTGGAGGGATTCTGAGCTTGCTCTTTTAACAGTCCAAAGATATTGGTCATTACTCCAGTTTTACAGGGAACGGAGGGTAGGAGAGAGAGATGTACCTGAGTGCCACACAGGTGAGTGCTAGGCATCACCTGTCCTCAGGTGGAGAGTGGGGCTTAAGCTAGCCACTTCGTAAACGTAAAAGCGTGCACAGGTATGGAGAATTAAAGGAATCGTGCTAGGATGATGATGATAATAATAATAATAATAATAATAATAATAATAATAATAATAATTTTTTATTTATATCCCGCCCTCCCCAGCCGAAGCCGGGCTCAGAGCAGCTAACAACAGTAAAATAATACAACATTCTAAAATCAGTTCATTCTAAAATCAGTTCAAATCAAATTAATGGCAACCACTGGGCTAGAGTTCTGTGGGGATTACCAAAGGAGGGGGGTCAGACTGTGCCTTGGCCAAAGGCCTGGTGGAACAGCTCTGTCTTGCAGGCCCTGCGGAAAGATGTCAAGTCCCGGAGGGCCCTAGTCTCTTGTGGCAGAGCATTCCACCAGATTGGGGCCACGGCCAAAAAAGCCCTGGCTCTGGTCAAGGCCAGCCTAACCTCCCTGTGGCCCGGCACCTCCAAGATGTTTTTGCTTGAAGACCGTAAGGTCCTCTCCGTGGGACACACCAGGAGAGGCGGTCCCGTAGGTACGAGGGTCCTAGGCCGTGTAGGGCTTTAAAGGTTAAAACCAGGTGACAGCCCCTTTAAGAGAAGGGGCACCTGAAACCTGTCTGTTCAGAGTCACAAATATGATTGAAACCACACCTCCTGGCAAATTTCAGTGCAAGTTTCCTTTCTAGGCAGGTTGACCTGTTTGGGTTTCGACACGCTGTTGTTTGTTTCCGCGGTCTGGTCCCGCAGACCTGCCCTACCAGTGATAATAGCTGAAATCATTTTGGTGGGCTGTAATTTGTAGCTTCTCTGCTGCTGCCTCCATGCACGCTGAAAGCACGGGAGAGCGGTGAATAGCAGCTAGTGATAGAGCACAATCATTATACCATCAAAGTCGGTGCGTGGGTGGGGAGACCATGTATGCTTTTATCATCCAGAGAGAAAACGCATTCCGGGGGAAAAACCTCTTAAACTCTCCCACGTATTATTATGTGTCTGCCCAGACATACAAGAAAAAAGCAAAATGCCTTCAACTACTCATGGGTCGACATAGGTTGTGCCCTATGCGTTGCAGAATGTACACCTATATCATCAACTAAACCATTTCATTCAATGCACATTTGTAGCTTTAATTTCCGTGTGATTCAGTTATGTGTCAAGAATGCTTAGTGGCACTCTTACATTCTTCGGAGTATTGCTGGCTTGTAAAATGGTACAATGCTGTGAAGGTCACAAGGTGAAATGGTGAGAAATCTTTTTTTATATATAATTTTTTATTAGTTTTTTTAAGATATCATTTTCAACAGCAATTAAACATACTTTTACATCTTATTCAAATTTTTGACTTCCATCAATCCTGTCTGAAAATTTTCCAATCTAATCTCTCAGTATGCATTTCTTATCTTCCCTATTACATTTCAAACACACATCCAATATCTCTATCTTTTTCTACTTTGTAACACTTCGTATATTTCTCCTTACAAAACTTGTTGTAGTCCTACTAGCGTAATTTGTTGATTACAGTTGCTCTTCAAATAATTCATATACTTCTTCCAGTCTTCTGTAAATCTCTGGTCCCGCAGGTTTCGAATCCTTCCTGTCATTTTGTCCAATTCTGCATAGTCCATTAATTTCGTCTGCCATTCTTCTTTCGTCGGAATTTCTTCTTGTTTCCATTTCTGGGCCAGCAATACTCGAAATGGTGAGGAATCTTAATTCATCTACTGTCTTAATTTCAGGTTGCAATGTCTCGCAGCATCGGCGTTCCACGATCCAGTGTGGTTAAGCTAAGTTTGCTGGCTTTGCTGCTATTTGTAACGAGTTTCCCTTCGTGCTTAAACGACAGAGTTACAGTGAGTATCTTTCATAACTGAATCTTGAGAAAGTACAGGGAAAGTTAACTAATCAGAATTCATTTGTGCCGGCAAGGTGGGTTTACCCGTTTATATTCCTTTGGGGTTTTAACTCTCTGTCTCTGTCTGTCTGTCTAGCACAGGAGAAAATCCTGTGTTTTCAATGCAAATATTTAATCAGCTATTTAACTGAGTGCTTAAAAAGCATTCATTCTAGCTGGCTGTATACAGTCCTAAGATGGGCAGGGTATAAATATTAATTTATTTATTCATTTATTTATTTCCGAAGGAATTTGCTCTCACAGAAAAAGTTGGTGATTCGAAGGAAGAGGACAGCCAAGAGGGAGTGGTGGAGGAAGACGATTTTGATTCCGAAGACTTGGAAGTATTCTACCCGACGAATCAATGGCAAACTGTCCGGCCAGGTAATTTAAAGTTGGCAAAGATTTTTTTAAAATGTAATTTCTGCTACTCAAGAGAAACTGCAATGAAATAGGTAGAGGCTGAATTCTACTACATCCTGTACCAAAAAAATGCCAATAATTTTTCAGTTTAATCCCAATTCTGTCAGGAGACCTATCTAATAGCCTGTTTTGGATTCTCGTTATTCATAGGGAATATCTTTCCTCCCCAAAATCAACAGCATAATTGCATATAAATTTACTCACATATATCTACTTAAACAGCCCAGTGACAGAGCGAAATGGCTGAACTAAATATGAAATAATTTAGTGAATGTTCAGAAGGGTACTGTTAACTAATGTGTTGTTACCTGCTCTCCTGTCTCTGAGCAGGGAGAGCCTTCAGGAAATCAGTGCATTTCTTGGGTTAGATTAATTTGGGGTGCAGGTCACTGGAGTGATGTGGGTGGCGTTGTGGTATAAACCACCGAGCCTCTTGGGCTTGCCGATTGGAAGGTCGGTGGTTCGAATCCCCGCGACAGGGTGATCTCCCGATGCTCTGTCCCAGCTCCTGCTAACCTAGAGTTCAAAAGCACGCCAGTGCAAGTAGATAAATAGGTACCCCTGTGGCGGGAAGGTAAACAGCATTTCCATGTGCTCTGGTTTCCTTCACGGTGTCCCGTTGCACCAAAAGCGGTTTAGTCCTGCTGGCCACATGACCCGGAAAGCTGTCTGTGGACAAACGCCGGCTCCCTTGGCCTGAAGCGAGAGGAGTGCTGCAACCCCATAGTTGCCTTTGACTGGACTTAACCGTCCAGGGATCCTTTACCTTTACCTTTACCTTTACCTTACATGTCACTGGAGGCAGACATTGCCTTCTGTGAAGTAACGTTTATTTACATGCATACATAGGCCAGACATAAGATGGAAGGCTTGCAGCATTAACTCTCCCCCATTAGGTTTCTAACGGGACCACCAAAAACATCACTTTTGGATTCTGCACAGAGAGCAAGTCAGGCCTTTGTTTCTCTTTTCAGACCCACATGCAAACACATGCCTCCCTTGCCTCACTTTCCAGAAGGTTCTCCAGCTAATTAGTTCCTATGGCAGATACTTATCAGACCTGGCTGGGTCTAGTTCAGCGGTCAGCAAACTTACCGCGCCTCAGGCCGGTGTCTCCAGCGCCGATCGTGTGGAGGGCAGGGGAGTGCGCGCCCATATGCGTGTGCACACGCTATTTCCGGCGCACTTCCGGGTCGGAGGAGCACCGGAAATAGCTTGTGTGCATGGGCCTCCTACGACCCGGATGTACACCGGAAACAATGCATGCGCACAAGCTATTTTCAGTGCTCCTCAGAAGTGGGCAGCTGCGCTGCGCCAGTAAAAGCGGGCAGTGGCAGCAGGCGGCGGGGGTTGCCGTGGGCCGGATAAATGAATCCCTCAGGACTTATCCGGCCTGCGGGCCTTAGTCTGGGGACGCCTGGTCTAGTTGCTTAGCAATGAAACTGGATTGACCATTTAAGAAGTCCTCCCACCCCTCAGAAAAAAAATAAAAAATAAAAAAGGCTCAAAGGAGAGGTTGTCATTGAAATTCTACTCAATATTGATCCAGAGTAGATTCCAATGTATAGTCAGCAGAGTAACAATTTAAACACATTCGGAGTTTCCCCCCCAAAAAAGACCAGAGGCATTTCATCCATAGAGCTTTACTGCTGAAGACAAATGAGCATAATGGTCACAAATCCAATGCATTCAGGATTGACATTGTGCTTAAGAAATCCAGTTGCAGCAGACTTAACTTAAACGTACAAACTTATAATGGGATGCGGGTGGCGCTGTGGGTTAAACCACAGAGCCTAGGACTTGCCGATCAAAAGGTCGGCGGTTCGAATCTCCGCGACGGGGTGAGCTCCCATTGCTCGGTCCCTGCTCCTGCCCACCTAGCAGTTCGAAAGCACGTCAAAGTGCAAGTAGATAAATAGGTACCACTCCGGCAGGAAGGTAAACGGTGTTTCCGTGCGCTGTTCTGGTTCGCCAGAAGTGGCTTAGTCATGCTGGCCACATGACCCAGAAGCTGTACGTCGGCTCCTTCGGCCAATAAAGCGAGATGAGTGCCGGAACCCAGAGTCGGTCACGACTGGACCTAATGGTCAGGGGTCCCTTTACCTTACAAACTTATAATAAGTTTAGATCTTAACACTATGTACAGAACAACACACCAGAACGAAAAGAGATAGAAAGAAAGTGAAACCCAGGCTCCTTCTGGCCTCACTATTACAGTCAACATGACCTGGACAGAAAGAGATAAGAGAAGCAGTTTAAACCAGCTGTGCTCAGCTTCTTTGAAGGAATAACCCAAACATCAGTAACCTTCTGCTGGTTTCCCTCACACAGAGAAGCTTTCAGAACCCTCCTGAATTAAGTAGATGTGACCCCATGTTTCACTGACTTTGACTTCAGTCATGTTTCATGATTTCTAATTCGCTGCCTTTTGCTGTATAATTTCGATAGAAAATGTTGGTCTTGAAATGAAACACTGAGAAGAAGAAATGTGTGCTAATTTATATATCTATATTATTATTATTTGCAGGTCAGGCTGTTCCTGCTGGCTTACATGTGCAATTAAATCTTCAGACAGGAGAAAAATTAGCCAAGCTTCCGGATAACGAAAAATCTCTCTCCCAGGGGCCACACTTGGCCCTCGATCTATCCGTGCAACCCGGAAGCCCGCAGACTCAGTCCAGCTGTTCATTCACCAGCTAAGGAGTAAACCCAACACAAATCCCTGGTAGAGTTTCTAAATGTTTGATGGCACCTTGTATCCCTTCTTGCAACCCCGGCAGCCCAGCTGTTGCAAATCTAGTGCCTTGGCCTATATCATTCCTGAATGCTCACCTGATTCCAGGGTGAAATCTAGACAAATAAAAAAACACTATGAAAATGCTTTTAAAAAAACATTTTGGAAAATATATTGAATTTACCATAAGCTCACCATCGCCATCTAGTGTCAAATGTGTATAATGCACTTAAAACAAACTTAAAACCTTATATTTGCAGCTGTATAGCTGAGTCCCAGGTGTCAGCAGTTGCTGGCCCCCCATCTTGAATCTTCTAGGAAAAGAATCTGCTTGAATACTTACAGTAGAAAATAGGTGAAGTTTATAGAGCAGGGAAAGAGCTGTTGCTGAAGAAATTTCAGGGGCAGGGTCAGGGCAAGCCAGCAGGTGACGCAGAGACACACAGGGTTGGTGGCAATTGGCTAGGCATCCCAAACCGGTTAACACATCTTTATCACAGTTTTTTTAAAAAAGAATAAAGTAATATTTTTGGCTCTCTCTGTTTATAATCTGGAGGTGGTATACACACAACAGCAGGCTCCGAGTTAAGAGTTAGGCGACACCTCAGCCATAAATGAAGTTGGAAAGAAGCTAATTCCTCTTATCAGAATTAAACCTGGGCAATGTAAAAGGATGAGGGTAAAAGAGGAGAGTGCAAAATATGGTCTGAAGCTCAACATCAAAAAAACTAAGATCATGGCCACTGGCCCATCACCTCCTGGCAAATAGCAGGGGAAGAAATGGAGGCAGTGAGAGATTTTACTTTCTTGGGCTCCATGATCACTGCAGATGGTGACAGCAGTCATGGAATTAAAAGATGCATGCTTCTTGGGAGGAAAGCAATGACAAACCTAGACAGCATCTTAAAAAGCAGAGACATCACCTTGCCAACAAAGGTCCGTATAGTTAAAGCTATGGTTTTTCCCAGTAGTGATGTATGGAAGTGAGAGCTGGACCACAAAGAAGGCTGATCGCCAAAGAATTGATGCTTTTGAATCATGGTGCTTGAGGAGACTCTTGAGAGTCCCATGGACTGCAAGAAGATCAAACCTCTCCATTCTGAAGGAAATCAGCCCTGAATGTTCACTGGAAGGACAGATCCTGAAGCTGAGGCTCCAATACTTTGGCCACCTCATGAGAAGACTCCCTGGAAAAGACCCTGATGTTGGGAAAGATGGAGGGCACAAGGAGAAGGGGACGACAGAGGACGAGATGGTTGGACAGCATTCTCAAAGCTACCAACTTGAGTTTGACCAAACTGCAGGAGGCAGTGGAAGACTGGAATGACTGACGTGCTCTGGTCTATGGGGTAACGAAGAGTCGGACATGACTAAACGACTAAACAACAACAACAGATCTACCTGGAGAATGAACCTGGGGACCTTCTGCAGCCAGAAGAAGCCCTTTGCTAAGCTATGATATGGCATCCCTCCCCAAAGTACACACAGGGAGAAATATTTGAATCCACACATATTTTTTAACTATGTATACTGCATATTTAGTGACGCTGGTGGCGCTGTAGGTTAAACCACAGAGCCTAGGACTTGCTGATCAGAATGTCGGCAGTTTGAATCCCTGCAACGGGGTGAGCTCCCATTGCTCGGTCCCTGCTCCTGCCAACCTAGCAGTTCGAAAGCACGTCAAAGTGCAAGTAGATAAATAGGTACCACTCTGGTGGGAAGGTAAACGGCGTTTCCATGCACTGCTCTGGTTTGCCAGAAGCGGCTTAGTCATGCTGGCCACATGACCCGGAAGCTGTATGCCAGCTCCCTCGGCCAATAAAGTGAGATGAGCGCCGCAACCCCAGTCAGTCACGACTGGACCTAATGGTCAGGGGTCCCTTTACCCTTACCTTTACTGCATATTTAGCAGAAAGCCTCTAAGCAGTTTACAAACAACCATCTGAAAAATATATACGCCATATTCAGATGAGCAATGGCCACCTGCGGGAAGAGGATCCCATTCAGGTTTGAGGATGGTGTGTGAGTTTTAACTCTTAGCAATCCAAAATGTTATTCTCTTACTAAAGGGTTGTAATGTTAAGAAGACTCAACACATAACTAGGATCATGTATGGGAGTGGCAGAACTTATTGAATGAAAATCTGCTGAATCCTATCAGGGGAAAGTGGAAAAAGGTAAAAGACCACTGGACGGTTTAAGCCCAGTCAAACGTGACTCTGGGGTTGCGGCGCTCATTTTGCTTTCAGGCCAAGGGAGCAGACGTTTGTCCACAGACAGCTTTCTGGGTCATGTGGCCAGCCGGGACTAAACTGCTACAGTGGTACCATCGGGTTACAGACACTTCAGGTTTACAGACTCCGCTAACCCAGAAATAGTACCTCGGGTTAAGAACTTTGCTTCAGGATAAGAACAGAAATTGTGTGGCGGCAGCAGGAGGCCCCATTAGCTAAAGTGGTATCTCAGGTTAAGATCAGTTTCAGGTTAAGAATGGACCTCCAGAATGAATTAAGTTTTTAACCAGAGGTACCACTGTATTGGCGCAACGGAACACCATGATGGAAACCAGAGTGCACGGAAATGCTGTTTACCTTCCTGTCGCAGCAGTACCAATTTATCTACTTGCACTGCTGTGCTTTTGAACTGCTAGGCTGGCAGGAACTGGGACCCGAGCAACAGGAGCTCATCCCATTGTGGGGATTCGAACCACCAACCTTCTGATCGGCAAGCCCAAGAGGCTCAGTGGTTTAGACGACAGCGCCACCTGCGTCCCTATCAGGGGAAAATGGAAAAAAGGTGACCCTGATCTGGATGGTTGATGCATACAAAGAATCTACCATATTTTTCTCTCTATAAGACGCACCCGATCATAGGACCGCACCTTTGTTTTAGAGGGGGAGGGGGGAAAAAATCTCTCCCTCTCTGCGCGGAGCCCCTTCCATTTCTCCTCCCACTTTGCTGAAGGGGCGCTGTGCAGAGGGAAAGCTGCGCAGCGCCTCTCCAGCGAAGCAAAGCCAGGAGAACAAGAGGGGTCAGTACTCCTCTTGCTCTCCTGGCTTCAGCGAAAGCAAATTTGAAGCCTCTGGAGCGCAGCGGGAACGCTGCGCTCCGGAGGCTTCGCGTTGCTTTCACTGAAGCCATGGAGCCTGCATTCGCTCCATAAGATGCACACACATTCCCCTTACTTTTTAGGAGGGGAAAGTGCGTCTTATAGAGTGAAAATATGGTATTCATTGGGTCTGGATCTCAGGATCCCACACCCTTATTGCTACCAGGTGTAGGTAAATGCAGACACTCATGATTTCATGGCTCAGTTTGCCAACAAGCCCTAGGGAAGAAAGCCAAATCTAGAAAGTGTGCTGCTACTAATTTTTTGTAGGAAAAGGAAAGGAATGGACCACCCCAATGATTTTCTGTGTGTGGGGTGGACTAGGGTGGGGGGAAAGCAGAAAACTGAAGTATTGGGTAGGTGCTAATCTTTCCTAATCTCTAACATTACATTCTTGTTCCTATGTTCTTTTCCTAGCGCTCACTTTTCTTCACATGGAACACTTAGAAATAAAAAGAACATTCTGAACACTGATGTACTGTATTGCCAAGAGGGAAATTGCATGGCCATTTATGCAGCTGCATAACTGCATTTCATCCAGGGTCCTGTGGCTGTGAAACGTGCTGCGCTCTTTGTCCCCCTTTCCCTTTCCCCCTTGCAAGCCTGGGTAGTTCTCGCTGCCTTGCACGCCTTTGCAAAACGGTGGCTGCGCTTTTCCTCCCCTCTTGTTGCCTCCCGATTTTTACTACATCGTTGACTCTGAAGCCCCCCCAAGGCACATCATCCACAGCTAGCTCACACTCTCCGGCTGGCTTGAAGAATGGAGTGGTTTAGACATGCGTTTCAAGAGGGAGGATAAACTGGCTTTGCAGAAAGTAGCAGAGGATCACGCTAGATCAGCCCTCATAAGCATAAATTTGGCAACATTTGAGATTAATTGAAATATGGTGAATTGGGTTCATTTTAAGACCCAAATCTTGATTTGGCACGTGCAAATTTCAAAGTAGTTGAAGACAATGGGCATACATACTTAATAACAGCAAATGTTGCATATTGTGGACAGAACAAGTCGCTTGCCCCAGGATGATGTATTTGATGGTGTGTTGTTTTATTTACTTTTTATCTATTTATTAGATGTGGATGCTTCAAGGACATTTTGATAATGCAATGAACCAACCAACCAAGTACTAAGTTTTCTGCTTCTCACTTACAATTCTTAGGTTTTTATGTAACTTCTTTGAATGGTTGGTCTTAAGGAACAAACCCCTCCCCATAAAATATAACAACTGACCTCTATCAATCAGGGACAAGCGTCTCTCTCCTTGTCATTAAGCACTGAAACGGCAGGATTTGTGCTGCATGGGAAAAACAAGATATAAATTCTCTCTCTTTTCAATCCCACTGCCCATGCAAAGGGCTTTGCTGTCTCATCTGTCAAGGGCAGCTGGAGTGGGATCAAAACTGATTTGGATGGCTCCATGCTTTTGGCATCACCAAAACTTGTCATCTGTCTTCATATATGCATTGAACAGGTAGAGAAGCTAAAGGTGAACACTTATCCAACTCCAGAGAGAATATCTTTTTCTTTGAGAAGTGGTATTCATGGCTTCAGAAAGTTTTCCTGTAGAGATTTCTAGATGTAGACTTATGAACTGTATCCCGTCCTGGATGAGAGGCAGATTACAGAAAATCTAAGACGTCTGAAGCTGCAGAAGGAGAAACTGAAGATAGGCAGGCTTACCTGAATACTACCGTATTTTTGGCTCCATAAGACGCACAATTTTTAGAAGAGGAAAACAAGAAAAAAATATTCTGAACGAAACAGTGGACGTATGATTTTTGTGGTTCATGCTATGGCCACAGACATGTGATTTGATGGTGAGTTTGGGGTAGCCCAATGCAAAAATCCTGAGAATCCATGTGGATCCGTGCTTTGTAACCACGTTTTTGCGCCATTGCGGCCCCACAAAACAGTGGATGTGTGATTTTTTTGGTGCCGGCTGTAGCCATGGACATGCTATGTGATCTGATGGTGAATTTGGGGTGCCCCAGTGCAAAAATCCTGAGGATCCATGTGCTTTTACCTCCCTCCTCCCAGGCAGCCTCCTTTATCGCTAGTGTCCCTTATCTCCCTCCTGATCGCTTGCCGATCAGCTGCTCAGCAGCTTTGTTTCAACACCCCCTTCCCTCTTGTTTGCCTTAGCGTCTTTTCCTTAGCTGGAACAGTTTTTTGCTTCTCCTTTTCTTCTAATTTCTCTCCTCACTGCTTATTTTAGTATTCTTGTCTCCTCTCCTTGCAAGTTCGCTGTCTTTACCTCCCCCACTCCCCAGGCAGACTCCTTTACCCACAGCCTTATCTCCCTCCCAATCGCTTGCCAATCCACTGCTCAGCGGCTTCATTTCCACACACCCTTCCCACTTTCTAAAAAAAAAAGTATGATCTGCTTTTCACCCCTAGGCAATTCAGCTCCAGGGACCATGCATTCGCTCCATAAGATGCACAGACATTTCCCCTTACTTTTTAGGAGGAAAAAAATGCGTCTTATGGAAAAATACGGTGTATATCTGGTTTATTTGGTACCCTCCAGCATCTTTTGTCCCATGGTCTTAAGGTTTCCTAACAAGCTCCACAGGGCTTGGGGTACCTTTCTCGTTAAAAGCTGGTTTTGTTTAATAAAGATTTTACAAACTCACCTACTTGGTCCACTGCAGTCCAAGTTATTGACATAAGACACTGTTCAAAGCTCCTGAACAGGGCAAGGAAGCTGTGCAATTCCAGAACTTGTTTGGCCAAGTTTTGGTAAGCTCTGACCTTCATTGTTAGCCTTTGGCGTATTTTGTACAACACAGCTTAGCTGTAGTTAGTGTCTAGAAAAATGTCAAATTATGAAGGTCAGCTGAAAACCCACAGACTGCTTATGCACAGAACATAATTTATATTCCAAACCAGAGAATAAGGAAGAAAAGGTGTGCTTTGTTTATAGGGCACAGTCAAGCTTTGTGAGCTGGACAGATCATGTGGCAGTTGTGATAAATGAGGAATAAATCCACAGGAAGGTTACAGAGAGCACATGAAGGCTAAGGAAAGTTACCTCTAGGAGGGTCAGGTAGGGCAACACTTCCAGGAGAGGAAATATGAAATGAATTCACTTCCAAGAAAATATGACCAAAAATAAAAGCAGGGCAAGACATTCTCTTGGAGATAGTATTAAAAAGCAGTGTTATGGATGTAATGTAGGAATTTTAAACAACACAATCCATATGAAAAGGTTTATCTGCTAGGAGTTTACTTAAGTTATTATTTCCTCTGTCTTTCCGGACAGTATACAAGTGCAGTATTTTTGTTGCAATATTATTGGTGGTATATATTGTTTCTATCCCACTGTTTCTGGATTATTTCAACCCTGCTCTTTGTTTGTTGTGGTTATTGCTGACCTGAGATACTTCCCCTTATAGATCATTTCAAAAACACATTTTACATTAAACTGGAATAAGTGGTAAACAGAGCCCTAGTTCAAACTTGTAACTTTAATGGGCTCCATTCAATCCTAATGTCTCATCATACAGTGACCTTCCCCAATCATTGGGAAAGTTAATTACCAGCCTCTAAGAAGATTCTGGTGCCCTATCAGCCTGAAGGGGGTGACACACTAAAATATATCTTGCCTTCATTTTAACCTCTCTGGGTGACTAGCAGGCTCTCTTGGACACCCAGCCTGTTCTTTTCATGTGTATAATAGAGCATGCAATTTTGCTTCATTGGTTTTGCATCAGAATCCTCTAATAAACACTGTGGCTTTGTAACTTCTGTGCTATCTCAGTATCTTCTTATCTAACTATGGTGGCAATACAGCTACTGGGACACATTTGGTATTAAGGTCTCTCTTATTTACTATATATCTTAATTGTGTATGTTTGGTTTTAGGACTTATTAGCGGCATCTGCATCTCAGAGTAAGCCATAAATTAAGGCATTTACCGTGAAGCCAGAGTTGCGGTTGCTGTTTCCGCTAGCACTAGGGTTGGAGTAAAGTGAGAGCCACCTGTGCATTCATGGTAAACCCTCAACTATGATTAAACTGGGGTGTGTGAACTGAGTAGTTGCAAAGAGTCAAACAAAAGCACGAGCAGATCTTTGGAACAAGTGCTTCAATAACATGCCAAGAATTCAGCTGATTTAAGTCTTGAGTACCTTCCCCCCCCCAAGCACACGGTATGAGTCACCATAAGAGCATAGTAATTTTGCCCATGGTGCAATGAAACTATAGCAGACCCTCCATTATGTACATTTTAACTAAAGTGAACAAGTGATTCATGTGTTAGTCACCAATGACTAGCCCTTTAAATTGCCACTAATTAGTTGCATAGCCCAGCCACTTCATTACGGAATTAGGAGTGTTTTATGAACTGCAAAGAAAGCTCTGACCCTTACAAGTGGTTTTTATACTGGACTTTATTGGAAAAGGTATAAAAACAGAAATCCATAAAAATTTTAAAGAGCAAAATTATACCATGAGGCTCCCAGTATGACAAACAATGCCTGAATCGCAGTCTGAATGCAATGCTATTTGCTAGGTTTTTAAAAAGCCCAGGGCAGGATGCATAGCAATTATGAGAAGAACACAATGATAGATTTGCATTTGAATGCCGAGGGAAACATGCAACATTTACAACAGTGGCTGGAACAAGCCACTTATTAGAGTCCCCTCCAGCAAAGTACATCAGTTATGTGTAAGTAAGGCTTAACGTTTTCGCCATCTTAAGATAAAGTATTAAAAGTTTTCCTTGTGATGCACTTCGCATTACACACTAAGTAACTTCAGCTCCCCTATGGGCTCCGATGGCAGTCTTCACAAGATGCACATGCTGAAAGCTAACCTTCAACCCAGCAATTCAGAACAAATGAATCAAAGTGTTCCGTTTCATATAAAGGAGTCAAAACCTGCTTAAATTAGAAAAGAATGCTATAGTATATTACTTTTTCAAAATCATTTTCTACGGTTGTCTTAGTGTTTTAAGCAGCAACTAGCGTTTTCCATTTTATCAATTATTTCAACATACCAAACTTATGCTCTCTATCCACCCAAAGCATAATATAATTTTGATAAAAGTACAGGTCCCATTCTACTTCCAAGTTGAGAAGGCTCACATTTCTTCTAAAGGAATTACATGATCCAGCTATGTGAAGGATTAATGTTACAGTAAATTCAACTTTAGTATAGAATAGATTTAAAAGCAGGATTTATTATTTTAAAAAGCTAGGGGGGAAATGCCACAGAATTCTAAACAGCATTTTCATACTAAAATTAACCATGTTCTCAGATTTAAAGATGTATTTTCATGCTTCATATATCTTGTTACCTCCTTTTAGTCTAAGTGATTTTATCAAAAAAATATTGTGTAAATGAATTCTAACATAATCCATAGAATATTTG